TTCTGTGCAGGCAGGCTAAGTGGAAGACAAGAGAGAAAAAGCCCAAGGCAAGTTGAGCCGAGCCATGCAGAGGCCAGAAGTGATCGCAGCGCAAAATGAATCTCCCAATTAGGCGTTGTGTTGTTCCGTTGTCTTCGTACGAGTATTTTAATATGTGTTTCCTAGGAAGTGGATGTTTAGTTGTGAATTTATACATTTAACAACATCATGGTGCTGAAATAATGCTAGTGTGTGTGTGACAATTTACAATTTGCTTCTATGTGCATTAGGCTGTATTTTTAAATGACTGCTTGTTGATTATTTAAGTTATTTTTCAGTATGCCTTATGGGTTAATTTTAATACACACTGGTGACAGGGCCAGCAACAAAGGGCTGCACAGATCACGCTGTGGAAAACATGTTTTGGAAAATATGGGCTGTACTTTTCCTGCAGAAACAGGAAGTGAGGCTCAGAGCTAAAATAACTGCCAATGGGACCGAGGTGTGATTTCAGGTGCGAGACCCTGATCATGCTGTGAGTCCAGCTCGGGATATTTGTTGCATCTGGTTAAATTTGAAATTATTTCAAGAATTAGAAGCTTTTATATGATACTTCATGAGAGTCAGGTGGTGAGCCAAAAACTATTTCCTCTGTTTTCTGTGTGCTAATCTCAAGAGCATCACAACCACTTGATTTACACCCTTTTGGTGCAGGCCAGGTTATTGAACACTGTGTCTATAAAGCCTTTATCCTCTATGGTGTATGAGCATCTCTATGAAAGAAGCATTGATGTTCCATGGCTAATTCCTGAACACTCCTCACTGCATTTACTGCTATAAAAAAAGCAATTTTTACTATCCTTTTGATCCAACAAAACCCTATTTACCTAATTGTAATTGTTTTTACTATTAAACTTGTTATATCATTTCATGTATAGGTATTTTGGTGATAAAATAATCCAGATTAAATGTAGATGTTTTCATGGAGGACAGGACATAATGCAGATTGCGCATCTCGGATATTGACATTTGGTTTTATGTGTATTACCATAAACATATTAGATTTTGCTAATCTAGTCAAATAAAAGGATTAATCCACGAATATAACATGATTGAAAATGCTTCTAATATTGCGGATTTTAGTTGGTATTTAAGGAGTCGTGTTTGCTGCGCGTTTGCTCACGTCAAGAGAAAAGCTCGCCAAAGTTAACCGAGGAAACTATTAATTTAAAGGAAAACGTAACAATCAGCCATGTTGCTTTTATATTAATCAATTGTATATCCTATGCTATTCATTCGGACTAACCATTTAATTCGGCGTATGGTTAAAACATATTAAAGCATTATGTCCAATAATACACCAAGATGCCTGTTGAAGCTATCACCTGTTTTAATGCCGCGAAATGCAGCGGACTGCGCTGTAGTAAAACGTTAGCTTGGTAACGAAGTCGGAATTAAACAGGCATTACCACTGCTTTTCACCTCATACACATGCCGTATTATTCAGAGTGCTTCATTTGTCCAAAAAAAGACTGAGTTGTGTTTAATGAGCCATGTACTTAATCGCTTACATGAAGAACATTTAAATGGGCACATTTCCTAATGGAGTTTTGAGTGGGCAAAGACAGTGGTGCAGGTAAAACATGTTATGTATGAAATTGACCCATTAACGGGTACTTACGGTCTGTGTACCGGTGCTGTCAATCAGAGTATCCGACTGAAGGTACCCTCCTGGTGCAGTGATGCTGCGGCTCCGGGCTCCACACACTGCGGGAGAGAGAGGGAGGAATCACCGGGCAGTATGAGCCAGGGACGGGGCTCTCCTGGTGCTCCAAAAGATGCCTGCTCCTATTGGACCGGAGGAAAGAGGTGGGCGCAGGAAAATGAGGCCACATGGGCGCATTACGCACTAGCACACACACTGATTGGACACAAAGCCTGTACAGTGACAGATACACTGTTTTTACTCGCCATGTGTAGCACTGGATTTATACATCAGCACTACTAAAAAGCTCTAGTTAATTTTCTAATGAGAAATATACGAAGGAAATTACTTTATTAGACATTTTTTTAAATCACATCTCTTCCTAAAATATATGTACAGTATGTAAATATTATATGATGATACCACCACCATTTATGTTGCAGTCATATTATTCATATGTAGGTTTTACATCAGACAGAGTTATACAATTATAAATTAAGATAAAAATGATAGAATAAAAAGTATTACATAAATGTAAAGAGCACATGATGAGATATAAGAGAAAGGAGTATGGTTACAGATTAAAATATAGCATCATATATAAATGTTTTGCAGCAGTATGAGGATGCAGGTAATTGCTCTGTACCTGCAGGCTGCAGAGGAAGGGGGGACAGGTGTAGATGTGAGGGTCCATGGGGGGAAATGGAGAAAGTCTGGTGAATGGATGGATGAGGCCTTAGGGAGATGTGGCTGCAGAGGGGGGGGAATCTAAGAAAAAAGGTCAATCACGTCACATTTTTACCACCTCTGCACTGATTTATTAAAGAGGTGATGAAGACTTTCAATGTACTTGTTGGTTATTTTTAACGTGTGCTCGCCTCTTTAATTTAATATGTTGGGGCCTAAAGCCTAAAAAAAATCTAAAACTGTGAAAACCTATAATGCTGTCAGACAATCACCGGGACGCTCTCAGGTTAATCTGAGTGCACGGTGACTCATTAAGTCACACTGTGTTTTAAAGCAGGAGCGAGGAAGCCCTGCAGCAGAGTCTCCTCTGCTTCATCACCTGTGCAGCACTCAGGAGGCAGAGGCAGGATTCTCACTGTCTAAGCATCTGTTGATCTGAGAAAACACAGAGTGGAAATAATGGCAGATGCCAGCAGATATGAATGAGTCATGTAGAGAAATATGTGAGTGAGCTGCAGCTGATCTGGAGTCAGATAACAGTGGACATGTTCAACAAGGAACACACACAAAGGTCCCAACTCTTTACTCGCTCCATTCATAGCTCAGGTAATAAGATACAATTCATTAAAATAACTTGTGTGGCTCATCATATGCATCATTTAAAGTTGTCCTGCAACAGGAACATATTTAGTTCACTGGGACTTCCAAATAAAGGATTGTATAAGAGAAACCTGTAATGTATTCATGCATTACTTAATGAGCTCTCAAATGAATTACGCTTGCTAATTAATTAATGTAACATAATGTTGAATAATAATCTTAACAACTGTACCTATGAAACAGCGGAGGAAGTGTATATATGATAAGATATGTGATAAGAAAATACATTTAGCTGTAAATTAGTTTTTCCCCCCACAACTTTATCTACGAGTCATTTTGCAGATGTAATGATTTCTAACAACAGTTCCTGTAACTCATGCACTCATTTAAAGCCAACATACTGACATTACATATCAATACATGGTAATATGGTTCCCCTGTGCAGATGACATGTGATTTCCACCCATCTTCTTCTCATGTCATCCAACTGTCATAAGACTTTAATCAGTGTTGGATATAGAACTCCATCTAGATATTTTTGCTCAAGTGAAAGTACAAATACTATCGTCTTAAAGTACTCCATTACAAGTAAAAGTCCTGATCCCAAAAATGTTACTTAGTAAAAATAGTACAAACAGTAAAAGAACTCATTCTGCACAATGACCCATTTCACAATAATATGAAGTACACAAGTATTATCAGCTTAATGTACTTCGAGTATCAAAAGTATTCGTTATGTAGAATGGATATTTTTGCAGTATTATATTATTATGCTTATATTTTCTCAGTTTTCTATAAATGTAAGAGCATTTTAGTGTTCAAGGTTCAAGGTACTTTATTGTCAAACTGACATAGCTACAGAGTAATTATGTTGTTGAAAATCTTATGTCACAGGCTTCTCCAACAATGCAACATAATAACAATACTAGTAATAACTAACAATAATAGTGTTGTAGTTGGCGAGCAATTTGGATACTTTAAAAATAAAACATGTGTAAATTAGTACTACAGTATTGCATTATACCACATCAGCTTATATGTGTTTTTAATGTACATAGTGAGTGTTAAAATACAGTGAAAAGTATAATATTTGCCTCTGAAATGTAACGGAGTAGGAGTATAAAGTAAATGGAAATACTCAAGTAAAATTATGTCAAAATAGTACTTGAGTAAATATACTTAGTTACCTTCCACCACTGACTTTAATCCTCTTCTTCCTGTGTGTGTCTGAGGATCAGCCGGTGACGACACACACTGTCAGGTCTCTCTCTATGAAGGAGTTATGACGGCCACATGACACAACATGTCACTCAGAACCTGTGGATGTGTCCGTACCTGTCCGAGAGGGGAGGTCAAACATCTGCAGAGGAATTTATTAAAACAATCTCTGATTACTTTCATTTGACACTGTGCTCGTTCATTATTAATGAGTCCTAATGGCTGCGCGGAGTATTGATCAGACTTTTCTTTGCTCACTTACATATTTTCTAACATGCATGGTGAAGAAGACAAGATAAACTGGAACCCATCACATTTAAGGACTTACAAACGCCTGCTTTATTTACATGTACTCCGGTTACTTCTACTACATTTCAAAGGGAACATTCTACTTTTAATTACACAATATGTATAACAATCACAGTAAAGCACATTTTTTAGGATACTACTTACATACTTCTACATGCAGATATACTGGAGTATCTTTTTGTGAGCCGTTGCTGAAGCTTTTGTCTTCCCCTGCTCTGCTGGTTACGGACTTTCAGCCAAACATATGCAGATTAAAGCTTCGTCCGCTGCTCCTGGTCTAAATAACTTCTCAAGAAAGTGGCAAAATGATATATCATTATTACATGTTATCTATATAGCGCCTTTTAAGTACTAAAAGACACTTTGCAACAACTAGTAAATAAACGGAGGCCATGTTGGCGGAGGATTTGTATTAGGTAATAATCTGTCATTAAAAAACTGTAAGTAACTTAATTGAAAAACTACAACATTACCTTCCAAATGATAGTGGAGTAGAAGCATGTATTAGCATAACATGTATTTACTCAAGTACCTCAGGTGTACTTATTCACAGTACTTGAGTTTCAGCTATTACAAACTTCATCAAACACAATTTGAAAAACATCATGAGAATTGTTTTCATGGCATGGTATCGTATGATTAAGTGAAAAGTCAAATACAGAGGTGTTTTGATTAAATATGAAAGATGGCCCCACATCTCCCAACACGTGGATGTTCTGCACATTTACATAGATCAGTGCAGTTGCTATGGTTATTACTGATGAGTCACTCTGATCTTATAGTCACTATCAGAGTGATGAGTGTGTGGGTGGACAGAAACAAAGCATATGTTTGTAAATGATGCTGGGAGCCAATACAAATGAAGTGTAGCAGAAAACACACAGAGGCTCAGAGTTAACGGTTTATTACTGAAGAGGAGGAGTGAAGTACAAATACTACACTTCGTCTTCACCTCTGTGTGGAGCATGATTCAGTCAGGGAAAGGGGGCGTCTGTAGATGAGTGTCTGTGGAGGAGCTGCTGTTAGCTGGGCCCCTGCTCTTCCTCCTGCCTCATCCTCTTCCTCAGCTGCTCCCCGATATCCGCCAGAGGGTTCATCTTGGCGGAGAGCGTCTTCACTGCGCTGTCGAACCGGCTGCTCTCCGTTTCCCTAAAAAAGACACACACACGTGTTCAGCTGTGTGGAGGAGAGGCCGATACATGTAATATGAATAATATTGATGAGGAAATGCGCTCACAGGAATCGGCGTTTCTGTGACTGTTTCATCTGGCTGAAATCTGTCGGCTCAGGCCTCTTCACCGGCCTGGAGGAAACACACAGAAAACAATTTCAACTCAAGACGTCTAGTGATGGAAATGGAAGAAGTTTAATATTCTTCTAAACGTCACACAGATTGGCACCGGTTACAATGAAATGTAGTCTCTATTTTACCCATCCTAGAATTAGGATCAGTGGGCAGCTACTAAATAGAGCCTGTGAGTCGTGTGGGCACCTCCGCACCATCCACATGGAGGATGTGTGATCACGGCGCTCAACACTCACTGCGTCCTTTAATCTAAATCATGTGTGTTGATTAAACGTCTGGCAGTATCTGCGACTGGTTCTCTTCTCAAGGACAGGGGAAATGTGATAATTACGGAGCACCACGCTGGGTGCCTTCCAGAGAGGTCACCTTGGCACTTACACTTTGTTTTTCCGGCTCTTGCGGCGCGCTGCGGGGGCCGTGGTGGAGGGCCCGATGAGTTCAAAGAGCTCCGGCAGGGCGTCGGCCAGCGGCCTCATGTCCCCCACCACCGGCGTGGCCTGCCGCCGGGCCTCCAACGCCTGCTTCTCCTTCGCCAGTTTGATGGAGCTGATCTCTGAGAGGAGGCAGAGAGGGACATGCTGAGCCACACAATACAACTCACAATACATGGAAATAAGAAAAACATGTTCGAAAAAACGAAAAAGGTCCGTTTCCAATCAGGAGCTTCAAGCCTGAACACTGCTATCAGTCTCTCAGAACGCACTCGGATCAGACTCTGCCCTCCATTATCTGAAAACAGGTCAGATTTCTTTCAAATTTTCTTCTAATTCCTGAAAACTGTCAGCCTTGGGTTTCAGCGGCATCGAGCCTCGCGGCCATTAGCACCTAATTAGACGCCAGAACAGGATACGTGTTGTGTTACTCGGGAATTGATTGGCTCAGCACAAGGTTGGGTTTCAGGCCTGATGGTGATTATGGGACATGGCGGCGCGGTGAGGAATTCAAATCTAAATACAGACTGACCCAAACATGGAGCAAAAAGCCCCAAACTCACTCATCAGGTCACTCATTCTTCAACTGGCCAACAATAGACATCAATGAAATCCTTGATCTGACAATAAAATATCATTGTTAAATATGTGTGTATTCATATTAGTGCCGATAGAAACTCACTGTTCATCCATCGATCCCTCCTCTCCTTCATCTTCTCCTTCTTTGTCTTGAGTTTCTTGTCTTCTTGGCCTGTGAAACACACACACACACACACACACACACACACACACACACACGACAGGTCACACCAAACCCCACTGCATCGGGTAAACCTGATAATTAAATAAATTTATAAATGAGTTAAGGACACATCAAAGGTGAGAGGAATAAAGCCGCCACTCCTCGCCCCCCCCCCCCCTCTCTGAGTGATCTCTTTACACAATCTGGAGTTCGATATATGTATAGATTGATCAATAGCAGTCTATAATATTTGATTATGTCCTATACGTCTCTGAAAGAATGAATACAAATCACCACCGTCTTAATAAAATATATCTGGGTTTTATTGATCAAATATCTGTTTTGGTTGCTTTACTTTTCCTCTTTATTGAATGCCATGTTAAGTAAGTAATGTGATGTGTTGGCTGGCCGTGTTCCTATCCATCGATCGGGGTCAGAGGTCAGAGGCAGCTCACAGGCCGCGTGTCATTTCAATGAGCGGAGCAGGGTGTGATGGGAACGCTCTGCGCTGGACTATCGATCCCATTTAGACCGACTTCAACACCTAGCATCGGTAGAAAACTGCCTTATTTCACCGCGTATAAAATATATATACGGTTTGTTCATTTTTTTCCTAACTGAACTTTTTTTTACTGTTTCTGATGCGGTTTTTATCATTATTATTCCCCCAAAAATGCGTGCTTTCTGTCAATCTGACATCAAATGCGTCTTCAGATTTAGTTTACGCTGGCAAAGGTTGTTGGAAAAAGTAGACCGGTGGGGGACAGGGGGCAAAAACATGGCCGACAGACGCTCACCTATGTCTCCAATAATCAGCTCGACCAAAAGAAGGAATACAGAAGGTTCCTCTGATGAGCTACATTCAGGGTTTGGGTTATGGTACGAATTTTTGGAGGAAATGTTCTCCAGCTGTGTGTTCAGACAGGCCCGCTATCTCCGGAGACCCTGGCAGGCCTTTATCTGCCCCCCCTGTGTTCCTGCTGCTGTTTGCAGTCAGAGAACAGGCAAAGATAGGCATCTGTAGTGCTGACTACAATGTGGGTCGAGGTGGAGAAATCTAATCTCCCGTGAGTGGGTGGGGGTGCTTTACCACCACACCGTTCCCACTGGGAGCATCGTCTTCCCTCTGTTAGATGAAATGGATAGCTGTGATTACCCACACCCACATCCACCCCCCCCCCACCCCCACCCCTGTACTGCCCATACACCCTGCTCACAATACTGGACTGACAGCTCTAAAGGTGGGCAGAGAGGGTGTGTTTAGACACTGAGAAGATGGAAGGTCTTCCAACAATGCAACACACAAAACACTTAACATCATTTCAAATCAAAGTAAAGATAATAATACGACGTGCCATAAGTTGCAGGAAAAATCAATATATATACGTGGAACATAAAAAAGATAAAACAGATTAGATAATAAATACTGTGCAGTAGAATCAAATATGGCGAGGTGTAATAATATATATATATATTTATATGTGAACTATATATAGTGATAATAAGTATTACAGTATTTATTTTTAAATCTTACATTTGTATTATTCTAATTCCTGCACCTTACTTGCACCATTATTTATTTTTTAGGGCACTAATTAATATGACAATAAACCTTTTTATATATTCTCAGTGTCAGAGTGCCCTTAATCTCACTATACTGTAATGAAATGAAATCCAAATTTAAATGAAGAAATCTGATATAAAAAATATATAATTGAATATCACTGTGACTTAAATGCTGTTGGCGCTCTAACGCAGCAGTAATAATCCATCCTGGTGTTTGACAGAGACATATGACTGCAGAGTGCTTCCCAATGAGGCGTGAATGTCATGACTTTTGAGTTTCAGGGAGGCGGGGAGCCATCATACCGCCAGCCAATCACAAGCCTCCTGTCCGCCTATATGTCCTCATGCTCTGATGAACACTGACAATATGACAGCTGGAGCCCATGCATAAACACCAATATAGATATAAAAACTGATAAAACACATCTGAAGGGTTTTCTGTAGCATCTTACTCAAAATGTATATGGTATTCTGTGCATTTCATAGGAGTATAATGTCATTTAATAAGCACTGTAGTAAACATTGCTTCCATTACGGGATAATTGGCCCATCAGCCTTGAACCAAAGAGGGGAAAAACAACAGACGGGTGTTCAAATGAAATGAGGAGAAACATGGGCGTGTTGAAAGGTGGAATGATGATGAACATGGAGGAGAGGAGAAGGAAATGGTCCTGAGAAGCAGGGTAGAGGAGAGTCTTTAGAGAGCTGACCTCAGAATAAAGAGGAGCAGGGGGTCTTCCCTCAGGGGTCCGTTAGTGATACGACACCGCTAATAAGACTGCACACCGAGCGCTTTGTCAGGGGGCTCAGATACACTGATCTTATATTCTAACACCACCTCAGAGAGAAGTGTATGCTTAAGGAATGCACTGTTATGCGCATTTTTATACGCAGGTTTCTATTTGTAATTAGTGCTTTAATGTTCAAAAAGCTTCTCATACTGCCTGTGCTGCAGCACCTCTTTTCACCCTCTGTCTGAAACCAGAGCCCAGTCTGCTCTGATTGGCTAGCTTGTCGGCTCTGTTTTAATGATTGGTTAATGGGTCCAGGCATCAATACATCACGATCTAAGGCTGCAAAATGTATTATAATGTTATCGAAATATGGATTAATAATAATGTGTGAGCAAATAGAATCATTACTATGGAAAATGATGTTCAGTGTGATGCATTCAAGGACTTCCTAATAGTCCATTCTTTGCATTGAACCTGGTCCCATCAATAAAGAGAGACAGCCGCAGCCTCAGTCTTCCACTGATGCAGCTAAACCGTGATTTCATGCATGAGCTAAATTTACACCCTGCTGCTCTATAAATAGCAGCGGGCCCGTTGTCTGCTGAGGCTTCATGCAGCACGGCGTGCGTAGCAACTACGCCCACCTCCATCCTCCCCCCCTCCCTCCGTCAGACTCAGCTCTGCATCCTTTGGATCATCTCCAAACAGGTTTCTGTTGCAGAGCTGGAAGGAGATGATCCAAGTGACACAGAAAATACCTCCCAAAATGTTTTTTCTAGAGTCTGGGCGGTGCTGATGAAGCGGGGGACAATCACAAGCCTGATGCACCATCTAGTGGCCAGAGAATGTAAGCACATCTTCAGAATGTGGTGTGATCACATCAATCAGATTTATTTATCTCACTCCTGAGTCCTGCTACGCTTGGCGAGTAACGGTGACCTGTCACACTCAAGGTTCTTTTTTCTTTTATCCATTCCTTATCTTTTGTAAGTCTTACCTGTCTTGGCAGGTGCTTGAGCTGGTTCTGGTACATGTGGAGCTTCTTCTAGCTTCAGAGTCTGTACCAGGGCCTCTGGAGATATGTGAGTGCCGGAGAAGATCCCAGAGGGGAAGGAGCTCTGTCCCAGGGCCTGTGGAAGTTCACAAAATAAATCAATGAGTATAATTATTATTATGATTATTACTGGCTGCCTCCTTACTTAGACAATTTGAATACTTTAACAGGATTCTGTAAGACACTCTGAGCAATTTTTTTTTTTTTTTTTAATGTGCATGCCTTTATCTTTATCTTTTGTTGTAACAATGTAGTTGTCCCCTCTATGGGACGAATTAAGGAATTCTGATTCTGAGTCATTGAATGCATCATCTCAGCATCATAGTCCTGATTCAAATCCGTACATAGGGGTCTGTTGTTTTCATTACATATTTTGTTTGTTTTTGAATTACATTTGATTGACCTTAATTGTTTTAAAAAGAAGAGCATTTAAAAATAAAGCTAACCGATTAACATAATTGTCCGATAATGGAACCAAGAAATCCATTCATAACAAAGACGTGTTTTTCTCACGGTTTTACTCTTATTTGCTGGGCTAAAACATGTTGACTACATGTATTATTTTACGTATTTGTCGAGTAGTTCTCACAACAGACCTGTCTGGCGTTGTTCTTGTTATTCCCCAGCAGTGGAGTACTTGTTTTGTGTGGCTCCGCAGCAGCAGCAGCGGGTCTCTCTACCGCCAGACTCGGCGGTGATAACACGGACTGTGGGTGCAGCTTCACGGCCTCCTGGTGGAGCTTCTGCCGGACATGTTTGATTTTCCCCACCATGTTAATATATATGTAAACCTGGAGAACTTTACATTAATCTCAGCTGTACACACAATACACTGTGATGCAGCTCCCCGTGTCGACAGCGTGTGACGTCGTCAAGTTAGCAACACTACTACCGGAAGTACATTTCTTTCAACTCATATTAAAAACGCATATGTTATTCTGAGTAATTTACATTTGTGAGAAAATTACTTTGCAATTTACTTTTAAAATACACTACCAATTTAGTGTTGTTATTGGGTTTTGTATTTAAAACACCTGTACATACGTTCATAAGGCATTATTGTCTGAATAAGTTTTATTCTGAAAGTCAAATCCGGAAATGCGTGTTTATTCTCGCGGTAACTTCATTGTTGACATGACAAACGTAACTGGTGTTCCGGTTTAGTCGGTCGACGGAAAACGATGCAGAGCGAAAGTTCCGCATGCTTTTAATTGCTATATGATTCTGCTGTCCTACTGGCAGTAACTTTAATATATAAAGGATAAAATAGTTACATTATTAAATGAAAATCATATTTATTTGCAGGCAGTGACAAATCAATATGACGTCTTTTATAATAAAAAAACAACAACAAGCAAATAAACACTTCAATGAGCATATGAATGTTTCCATGTATACAAAAATAGACATATCAAAAACACATTTACATAAATGGGAAGTATAGATACATATATATACATGCTACAAAGATAACATCAGATTACACAAGACTGCGCATAAGTACATTCAGATTCAGCCTGTCACTATAGCTCGAGATGTATAATGATGTTATAATGTTTATATGAGATACATGAGAGTACACTACTAGATTTTTCAAATAATGCGTGCTATATTGCATATTTAAATACCTAATAATCCAAAGAGGTTACTTGATGTTTGCTCAAAATATTTGTATGTGCTTTTTCAGAGACATCTATTTAATATATATATTTTAGTATCAGCCTATAAGATATTCTTTGTCCCTCCTATAGTTGGAGAAGGTGGTTTTGTTCAATCTTTGCTTACTTGTTTCCTAATATAACGTGTCTAAATCTATAGATTTGACAATTTGGACCTCCATTTCTTTAACAGAATAAGAATGAAAATGTCTTGTTTTTCTCTAACTGTTTGGAAGACAATTGCATTTCAAGCTTTGCATGAGACTGTGAGGTCACACAGAAGTGCTGTTCGTAAGAGAAAATACTGAGAGGAAATATAAATCCTGATCTTAACATATTGGTGGCACATTCTTCTCTATAACACATCAAATCTTTGTGCTACAGACATCGAGCATGATTAGCAAATTCCAAGTGAATCACAGGAAAAAGTGACACAAACTATAGTGAATGAAGCAGAAAAACATATATACATCTGCTGCAGAAGAACCACTAAATATTTGGCGTAGTATTTATTCACATCAAATAATAACTATAATAATATGAAATACTGTCTGAAGAGCTATGGGTGTGTTTTACGGGAAGGAATGACTCTAATAACTAAATAATATGTTATTTTATTACCCTTGCTCTATGAAAGAGAAGAAGGTTTACTCCAGTTCTGTGATCCTGATGTGTACGAATAAGGAGGAGGGGGGAATACTGGTTCCATCTCTGGACAAAAGGTGAATGTGACGATAACCTGGGAACACAAAGAAAAGCCAGAAGATAAAGAGAATAAGCTTTCTTGATATATTGTTATTCGAATGTATTGTTAGTACAAGTACAAAGTCTGCTAGAAGCTGTAGAAGCATCCTTACCTTGCTGCATGCAGATCAGAGGGAGTGTATACTGGCCCACAAAGTCATTTCTGGATGTCTTGTCATAGTCTTCCACTACAAAGCGCACCATGGCCAGCTCAGGAGTGTGGATGGTGAAGCACAGAGTGTCATACCACACAGGATTAAACCCTGCAGAAAAGGAGAAATCCCTTCCATGTCAGCACCCACAGCATTTTAAAGTTACATCCTCTCCATTCATCCATTCATTCATTCATCCATTCATTCATTCCTCTCCTGTACCGTTGTTATCGATGTATCTGGTCTCCTGCTTGGCCTGGTCCATGGGAACACCGTGGATCTCCACTCTGACCAGAGGATCCACGATGGAACCCTCCTTGATGTTGACTTTGGGCAGCTGCTGACCACTGATCACCTTAAACACATCCATACAATGACTTATATAAAGCAATGATTGAAAAACTGCAGGGAAACACCTTTATTTCTTTCCCGATGTTGTGTACCTGTATGGTTAGGACGACAGGCTGGTAGCCTTCCCGTTCGTGAGGTGTCTCAGGGTCAAATTTCTCTGCCTCTCTCATGAATCTGGGCTTCAGGACGTAGCCGCAGCTGTTATTCTGACGAAACAGTCCGTCATTCAAATCCATCCCCTCCCCGGCAGTCTGGAAGTTCAACGCAACTGTATGAAAAGGAAAATACATTCACTTTTCTGGGTAGGATTAAAGTAAGGTGGATCATTTGTGAGCTACAGTTACTTTCCCCATTTAAGTTAAGAAAGGGGGCTTTATGGGTCAACCATTTTTCAGTTGTATTCACCAATTTGGCACCCAACATTCCACATTTCCTGAGGGTTGAAATTGGAGGAGTCAGTTCTGAAGCCGCTGGGATAAACCCTGGTCAGCTGCTGTGAGTTATGGTGCACAAAATCGGCCCCTAAAATGGAGATATCAGAAGATTACAAATATCAAAAATAAATGTCTAAATACAGTATACATCATAGGCCTACATTCCAAGGTGTAAAGCGGAAATAGGCCTGACTCACCAGCCTCTCTCAGGTGTTTCCGGGCCTTGGACTCAGTGAAGGAGGCCACCTCGTAGAACTTGGAGTGGATGCGGGAGTGTTTGAAGTTACTGAAGCGGACACTTTTGCAGTAAACCACACAGTCTGACAGCTCCTTGGAGAGACGCTGCTTTGACTTCTTTAACGATAAGAAGACAGAAAATAAAGAAATAATGAAAGCTCCAAGAAGCTTCTGCAGTTCTGCTGCCTTCGGATGAACCCCGAACCCAATGATCCAAAAGGCATCCTCGTCATTTACATATTAAGAGTCACATCGAGGTCAATTTACTCACAACCATGTAATAGGGTCAACCCTTGAGATGCACCCTGTCATGGATGGAAGCTCATCGAAACCTTGTGACAACCCCCTGTTGAATTGTGCAAGTGATACTCGCCCACGATGCCAGGAGTTAAAGCAGGTGTGCTGCCAGGGGAGCTTCCGTGACTGATCATCAGAGGGGCAGTGGACCCAAACCGCACCATGACAGTGAGAGCACCCCTGCCTGCATGCCTGCCTGCTTCCACATGAAAACTGATCCTGCAGGTTTAGCCCAGACTTCACAGCGTCACCGCTCCACCTTCACCCGTCCACCAGACAGCCTCCCTGCAGACACCTACACCAGCAACAGGGGCCAAAGTCGCCCCGGGCCTCACCTCTGGAGACGGTGCTGACAGGAGTCCCAGTGTGGCGTTTCATGCTTCTCAGATGCTAATAAATAAACATGACTTTAAGTGCCCCATGATTCCTTTGGCCAATTAGTTTGCTAATGATATCTAGGCATTTAACATTATCCTGTAAAGCCTTACACACTTACACTTAGGGACAAAGACCTGTCCTATAGCACGGACCTCATCCAGATTGCTTAAATGTGACATGCCAATGGAGGCAAACACTAAATGACCACTATGGATGCCATCCTGAGTCAATAGCAAAAGGAAGTGACACTTGTAAAGGGATATATGACTTGACATGAATTGGTCCCATATATCTGACATATGATTGACCCAAGTTGACTAAATGTCATTGATTAAAAGTATTTTAGGAACTCTTTAATTTAAATCTCCCAATTAAAGTTGGATTTAAATTCTATCCCTACTTAGAGACTCTATACCTCAGCATTTACCAACACAGGTGATTACTGACTGCGATAAGTGCCATTCAGAGTATCGAATATCCCGTTTTAGAGGAGACTGTACAACCTTCACCTAGTTAGGGACAGACTGGCATGGCACTTTTGTCATTGACCCCCTTTACACCTATACTGTCATGGAGTCACAAACTACTCCATATGAAACTGAACGGATATATGTCTCGACATCGCTGGAAGATGTTTATATCATTTGGTTTAAGTGATTTTGATTAAGTTCAGATGTACATGGCTTGGGTAAAAGACACCAGTGTCACGAGTGGTTGACAGTGTTGAAGCTCTTTCTTTCCTGTCTTGCCTGCCTCTGTCTTCCTCTGCTATCACAGTGTAAACAGATCAGCTTATCTAACACCCAATGTCTGCTCCCTGACCTTAACCTCCTCTATTTTTCATGAGGGACGACAGGAGTTTATGCAATCCTTTTCGCTGGGCGACCAGATTTCTAAAAACGAATGGCTAGGCTTTTGTACCGATAGGCTAAATTGTATGAAGCTGATAAATCCCCAATATTTTTGACATACCTTAACCCTGCGACGGACACTCTCTCTGTGCTGGTTCTCTTCTTCAATGTCAGCCACCTCGTCTTCATCACTGAGCTCTCCAGTCTGAGAGTCTTCCGCCATCTCGTTGAAACTCTCCTCCAGACCACCGATTTTCTTCGCCTTCAGCAGGATCTTCCCCTTCAGATCCTGACAGGAGGTTCAAATAAACCCTGCGGTCAACACTCACGTCCAGTCTAATTTTCAGATAATTCAAAAAGAATGCTTGGATAATAGTTACAAAATGGCTAATGGTCTTTTTGAGGGAGTGGTTCCGAGGGGGAAAGTATTGTGGTAATGAATAATTCAAGGTGCCAGTGTTGCATGTAGACACATCATATTGTATGGCAGGGGTGTCTCTGACAGGCTTTAGGGGGAAAAGTGAAGCTGCCCCGAGCTCCTACCAGGCGGAGTACCCACTGTTAGCACCACACTATGTTTTGCTTGGTGCTAGTCTGCTTTGAATTACTGCCAGGCTGCTTAAATTAACTTTATCTTGTAACTGAAGTTTCACTGGTCAAAATCAATGGCAGCAGCACACAACCATCCAGGAACTGCTTTGCATCGACACTTGATAACTGGAAACTCATTTGAGTAGCACCTTGACACAAATACAGTACAATGGGTCAAGCTGTTGAAATGAACATAAGGATGCTATTTTGGATTAGCTCCGGTATTGAGATAAATAGGTTGAAAGCATTCATTTAGCGCGGTGCGGTGACATGTATCGATGTTTTCACTTTCCATCAATGATAGTGGATCAATATATATAGATTAAGATGGTCACAGAACCAGTGTAGTGCTTTAAAGTCCTACCTGCAAGTTTACTAAAGGACAGAGTGTTTTCTTACACACTAAGTGGGTTGATAAGACACTGCACTGCTCACCTCAGGAGACGGCAGCCTGCTGGGGGCCTTGCCGTCTAGTGTGCTTTTCAGCAGCTTGTCCCCGAAGATGTGGTTGAGGTGTTGGGCCATGACTCTCTGTTGCTCAACACCGCAGTGGTTCTCGATTGACAGGATGACTGGATATTCCGATGCCTGGGTGGCGGAGAGGTGGAGGCAGTGAGTTTGTAATTGAACACTGGAGAGCATTATCATGGGGGAAAGCTAATACGCCCACTGCCATACACCTGTGGGTTATGACTTGCTGGGAGAAAGACAGCAGATGGATGGACAAGGGGTCAACATATTCAGTTGTGGACGGATGCTCATACACAACAGGTTCTGTCGTGCATGTAACCCTGGAAGCACAAGGCTGGCACTGTGTGGCAGATCCCTGGCTAGTTGACTTTATAGGGCTTTCAGATGATGGTATCATTGTTTTCACTCTCATTAATGTACAATGAGAAGCTGAGCGATTTGTTGATACAGCTTATCTTGACAAAGAAAGCATAAAACAATTGCAATTCCAGGGGGTTATAAACTGTGCAACTTAAAAAGAATCATTTGGACCAATGTGTTTATCTCTCCATTCAAACTGTGAGGTAGAAAATTGTGCAATTGAGATTCGTTTAAAGATGAATTCATTTATATTGTGGCGAAAAACAGCTGATGCTACCTTGAAGGCATAGTTGCCGACGGCGGTGACCACATCCTTGAAGAGTATCTTGGAGGTAAACGTGTGTCCATGATAGACGATGGGCTCTCCGTTGGCACCATCCCAGCAGTCCACCTCCACACACCGACAGCCACGACTCAGAGCCCTGAGCAGCAAACAAAACCAAATATTGGTGTTAGTGGGCATTTGCTTTGGTCATTTGCGCAGACATTTCTAGCAGCCTGGTCTCAGTGAACTCATTACCTGATGTATCCCTCCACACTGCTCTGCCCTCGGAGCTGGTCCTCCATCAGGTAGGTGTTGTGCGAGGAGGAGATGAAGTAATGGCACAGCGGCTGGCTCATGTCCTGGAAGATGCCCAGCCACTGTGGGTTGAAGATGGAGCCCTCAACTGAGCCGAGGTACATCAAGAAACCGTCAAACGTCATGGCATTCAGCAGCTTGGCTGGAAACACAGAAACTTAGATATAAAGATGGCTCCCAAAGTGTAAACCAATACCTAGCCACACAGGGTAGGACTTCACAATAATCTCCATTGTCTATGGTCTCATATCATTTACAGTGTGCAACCTTTATTTGTAATATTAAACCTTTATTTAATCCCTTTTTCAAGGGAGACCTGTCCAACAAGCAAGTACAAGAACTGTACCTGTGTCAGAGGGCTCGTAGCGCTCAATGAGCTGCTTGGCGTGCAGCTGGATGTCGCCCCCTTCCAGCTGCTCATCTCTCAGAAAGTCCTCCAAGTCTCTTTTGGATAACTTCTGGCCATCAAAGGAGAACTCCTGGAAAACCCTCAGCACATCGTCTCGCTGGGTCAACATCTTGTAGAAAAGCACAAACTCGTCATCCTCCAGTGTCCCCGTCTGGGACTTATCGGCCGTCTGAGAGAAGAGAGAAAAACTATGGACGGATGCAACAAAAGCCAGGAGGTCTTACGGACCTAACAAACACTCTTTGTCGAATACTTAAATCACATTATGTCCAAAGTTTTCAGCTCAAAAGCTCTTACTGTGAAGAGACGATGAGCATGCTGCTCGTTCATGTCCACATTCATCATCTTCAGTAAATCTTGCACTTCCTTGAAGTTCATCCTGCCATCGTTGTTCTTGTCTGCCTTCTTGAACCAGTCACCAATCCATCTGGGTACACCACTTAAGGAAAGTGTCACATTCAACAGTGGTAGGGAGATCCTCAATAAGGACTGACAAGAGGACTCAGGGACACTCCGCAGTGTATATTTTAAAAGTATTACAGTACAGTACATTGTCGTGACTAGTTTTATCAGTACACAACTATCTGCACTGGATACCAGTGTAGCTAACACTTTGAATGACATTTGATTGAAATCACAGAGTGAAAGATACTGGTCAAGTTTCTCCCGCTCCCCCATGTTCTCAAGGTTCTCAATCAGCTTCCTCATGCCTCTGACCCAGGACTGTGCTTCCTCGGAGGACTCAGCCACCAGGTCCAGGTTGCCCCTGCGCCCGCGGAAGACCAGCGTGAAGCATCGGTCAGCTGGGAACTCATCGGCGATGCTGAGGAGCACCTCTGACTGGTGGCCCTCTCGTATTGCTTCCAAATCGCTCACTGAAACTGGGCACGATGACAATGGTTAGATAAAACTAATCAACTTTTGTGAATGACTCCTTGATATCGAGGTGGTCAGGAAATCACGTGTTCTTACATGTGGAGTGTTTGTTGCCAGCCTTCTTGGACTTGTACCAGATGGTCATGAAGTCGTCCTGCAGTTTGAAGTAGCGCTGCTTCTTCCAGGTACGCGATTTGATTTTCCTCATTATCGTCCCCACCAGCATGGACTGGAGGTTGTCATCCCCCTGGATGCCTAGAAAGAGAAGGTTAGATTTAGTCATTGAAGATGCTCTAATGTATCAAAATCTACTATAAACATCCCCATCGGTGATAAAAGTCTAGGTTGGCCATGTTTTACCAATTAGACATGGAAATCCCATGCAGGAGAAAAGACTTACGGAGGACGCTCCCTGTGGAATCCATTTGTTGTTGTCTCACACTTCTGCCATCTAAAGGAAATATGTCAATGTTATTGTACAGTAAGCCTTTCATGCTTTTACAAAATAGTAACACACATTTTGATGATTAATCATCAGTAATGTCAATTCAATGACAAAGCGATTATAGGCAAGACATAGATCTGCCAGAAAAGTCTAGTAAATACTAAAATGACAAATGTTGCTTGGACAGTTCTATGCAGGTCCACATGCGGTACATCTTTGATCTTCATGAAATGATAAAGCAGGAATATGAGAGCTGTGTATAGAAGGTGGGTGTAGCTGCATTAGATGCACCATCAGCCTCATCATTATCTCCCACTAAGCTGCGCTGAATGTTCTCTCTGCTGTCCTGCACTTTTTGTTCTGTGTGTCGGGGTCACTAAGCCAACTAATCTTCCCAAATCCCTGTCATAGTTTCAGCATTCCCTTCACTTTATGACACGGCTCAAAACATCAGACAGTGTATATCATTTGGGCTGTAAACTATTTCATTTGAGCAAAGACACTATACCTCAGCCTGCAGTAATGCTATATGGTTGGCTAAGATTGTATAATAGTTCAGAAAAACACATCACATAGACAAAGATAAGTCATTTTAGATAGAGAATAGACTCCAGAAAAGAAGTAAGTTGATCCGCCAGCTGCTCTTTCACACCTAAATAGTCTGATTATATAGAAAATACAGTAATAGACACAAATGCTGACGGTATATCATGTAACGGGAAGATCCAATCTGTCTGTTTGCTGTTGTTGGACAACTTGAACATCTGTTATATTATTTAAAAGACATTTTTTTACTGAAACATCCACATCTAATAAAGGTCCAACTATTACTGCATGTACATGGACCCTAACCCATTCCCAAAACACAAGCAATAAGCATGATTGATTAAAGTCTGACCTGTTGCAGGATCATCCCGGAGTCCCGCGCGGGCTGAACAGATCAAACTGCCGTCCCTCTGCATGCCGTGCTGCAACTACTGAAGCGCCTCTGTGAAATTCACACCCCCCCCCCCTCTCCTCCTCCTCCCAAAGAGAGAAGTGCATGTTCAACTAAATTAACGACGAACTATTGTTTAGGCTGTTGAATAATCATTGCATGAGGAAGCCAATCAAACTCATCTTCTGCTACCAGTAGTGGAATGGGACTACAGTATAATACGAATCATTTGAAGGTATTTTATCTCAGTATTTCCATGTTATGCTACTTTATACTTCTACTTCACTACATTTCGGAAGCACTTTTTACTCCACTGCATTTATAGTTACTTTGTTTAAAACATTCATTCATCAATAATCATAGTACAGTAATATATACAAGTCACTTTTATTTGTAATATTTAAGCATAATTTGCCGTCAGAACGTTTGTACTTTTACTTAAGTGAGACCTGGAATGCAGGATTGTCCTTGTAACAGAGTAATTGTACACTTCAGTATTGCTATGTTCACTTCAATTAAAGATCTGAGTTATTTTTTCACCATTGCTACTAATTTAGGTTGTGCTATTTGTTGTTAAAGTGTTTAAAGTTATTGTGTATTTTAAGCCTCTACATGGCTAAGTGCCCAAAATCCACAGACAATTCAAGGAAGTAGATAATTTGTCTTCTAATGTGCGCTTTAATCTGAGTTTTTCCAACTCAGTGAAACCTGCTACAGTGAAAAACTGACTCACGTGTCGTTACTTGTTACTAAACCCCGCTCATCAAACTTTGATCAGGACAGTTTATCTGCAGGTCTGAGGACAGTACAGCCAGGAGAGATCCAACGTCAAATGAACGTGCCCCTAAATTCCCTCTGCACCCGTCACTGATGCACCTGAGAGCTCACACACATGCGTTTGTAAGATTTGAATATTAATATCTGTGGTCTTCATCCAGGCCCCATCTCAGGTTCTGAGGCATTAATAATCCACAGCTGCAGATCAGCTTCCAGATCAGATGACACAGACTGAGCCAAGGCTGAAATGGAGGGGCTCCCTCCTCGCAGGAAGGAAAATAAACTACATTACCCAGCAGCAACCTCAGGTGACCTGGAGTGATGATAATCTCAACAAGTTAACACCACTTTTATGATAGCTGAGGTGTAAATAGCTACTGGACTTACGTACTTCTACACTAGATGTACATTATATCCATGGCGAGCTACTCCTTAATATTTCTTTATTCCTCCTAGAGGGAAATGTGAATAATTTATGGACAAATTTGACACATTCTTTGCATAAAAGGTGCAACATAATCCTCCAGATTACCTAAAAACAAAGTGTAATCTCATCAATTACTGCCTTTTAACAGTTTTCTCAAAATATTATATTGCAACACCTGAAATCAGGGTAACATTGTGTACGATAATACTATATTTATCTATTTAATTTTTAAGTGTAACTTGAAAAATGTGCATTGATGTTACTAAGCACAGCTAGTAAATATAGTCATATGAATCAATTGTGCTTTATATCATTTTGTGCTTTTTGTTTGAATGGAGTTCAACATATACAGTGTTTTTATTACATGTACAGCACTTTGGCTCGACCAAAAAACGCTTTTAAATGTGCTTTATAAATAAAACTTGATTTGATTTGACTTATACAAAGTCAGGTTTTCACTGTGTGCAGTCAAATGAAAACGTATACAGTTAATGAATGCAACATTTTATTACAACAAATTGAAAATGTGCACAGAGAAAACTGCTGGTATAAAACAGACTATGTTTCCTCATGATTTGTGTACGGAAATATAAAAAGTGAATGGATTCCTCGTTTAAAAATAGTTTGTCTTTACCTTCACATTCTGCACAAACTGTACCAAAGGAGAAGAAAACAAGTCAAAGTGTGGGGGGGGGACATCTGATGATTCCTTAGGACGTTCCTGAGATGAAAGAGAGACATGGTTAAACATAAGGATACAAATCTGGATTTTTATATATATTTCATATCATATTTATCTTTTCTATATCAGGGTATCCTGAAGTCAAATGTAATACCTTTTAAGACCCTTTCTATATATTTTAGACCTCATCGCCATTTCGAGTTCTAACCGGTTACATTGGCGACACGCTTCACGTCACATTTACTATAACAGTATTGATTGTCCTTCCTCCTTCCAACCATTTGGACGCAAACTTGCATTTCCCCATAACGATGTTGTTTAACAACCGGCGTAAACAGGCCTTCGCGCGCTATCAAGCAGTGAGCGCGCAATGTCCTGTTCAGATGGCGTCAGATCCAACGGGATGCCATAAATAAACTACACAGAATCACACTACACACCTACGCAATGATTACATTCAACTGTAGAATACAACCTCTTTGGACAATTTATATACTTATTGAAAACAAGCTACAAAATGTAATACCTTGGAAAATGCCGTTTAATACTTTTTTAATAGCCTTAATTTTCGCTAAATTGATTTATCAACTTTTAATACTTTTTAAGACCCTGTGGACACCCTGTATATGTACTGTTTAACTTTGACAGTACATGTAATTACTCCAAATGCATGCTCTTGCTGCCCTCATGTGGATGTCCTGATAATTGACTTGCGTGCGTGTGTGTTGTGTTTCCTGTTCACCTGTGTTCTCCTCGCTCTGCACCCGGAGGAGAGAGGCGGTCTGCGGGGGCTCTACCACGTCGCTATCCTGCACACAGTCACTTCACACTTATTGTCTGTTGCAACTCAGTTCTGGTTCCAGTGAAGACTTTCAGGCACAGATTACATCCATTCACAGTCAAATAAAATGTGCTCTGTTTGATATGTCATCGTGTTCAATGTGAGAAGGGAGTAACCTGAAGTATGGGTTCTTGAGGTCCAGTACGTTCCCTGATGTGAAGCCTGACTGGTCCACTGTGGCGCTGATGAGGATGTCATAGCTCTGCCTGAAATGTGGATTATGTTGAGTTATAGTCAAATAAAAGCAAGTTATACAATCTAAACCTCTTGTTCTTTAAAGAACTTCAGAGAAAACATTTGTTAGCACCTGTTGTTAGCAACCAGCAGCACCGTCCCAGACAGAGTTTGTCCCGGCTTGGCGAAGAGCGGCGTCTGCAGCAAACATCTGACCTGAGACCAGCGGGTCAGAGGCTCCGTGGGAGCTGTGGAGAGCCACACTTCTGCCCTACACACACACATTCACAGTAATCTCATTTAGCACGTTGTTAGCAGCTGCTGTTTTATGATACATAGAAACTTCAGACATGAACCAGTAGCGTTTATTTTTGTATTTCTTACTTGGACCCCACATAGGCCACATCGAACCAGAAGGCCAGGCCGTGGATGAGACCCGACTGCAGGAGCGTGAACACAAAAGGAATCTCTATTCTGGAAGAAAATAAGTAATTTTTGAGCCCCATGTTCAGTGAGTAATTCTGCATTTTAAACATGTTTACTAGTTTAAATCATTGGTGGCATTAGTCATACCTAACATTTCACCTATTGCACTGGGAATAAATCCTCTTATATCTGCATTAGAGTCCTATAAATGCTCATATTTTTTAAATGCACTTGTTAAATTACAGCTGTACCACAGAAGTCTTGGTGATAAAACATGTAACCTGTTTAAATCTTCTGCTTTAGCTTCCATGAAGTTGATGCAGTGTTTGACAGACTTGGCCATCAGGACCGGCATATCAAACGTGTCCTGGAAATGACAGTAAATAAAACATATATTAATATAAAATCCATTTAATATACATTTAAAATGAGACTTAATTTTTCTTTTCTACATTTGTTATGACCTCGTGGGAGGCTACTGTGGTGACATGTACAGTTGAGTGGTTTGACTTCACGTACCACTATAGGCTGCCTGAAGAACTCATCCATTGCAGCGCTGTGAAGAGCACTCAGGTTCACTCCATAGAAGCTTCTCTGCTGCCTGAGGACAGAAGAGTGATGTTCACATAACTATCAACTTTCATGGTGGTTCATTTTAGATTTTAGGTCAGATAAAAAAAAAGTGTATAGCCAAAGAATGTTAGTGTTGCAGCTGCTATTTGTCTGAAAACATCATCAAGTATTTCCAAAAGCATCACTGCTAAAGTGGTTTTGCTGAACAACATCAGTTTGTAGTTTACCGTCATTCCTCAAGGCTGACGAAGCCTGACACACACACACACACACACACACACACACACACACACACACACACACACACACACACACACACACACACACACACACACACACACACACACACACACACACACACACACACACACACACACACACACACACACACACACACACACACACACACACACACACACACACACACACAGGACCCATGTAATAACAAGGGCAGCATGTCTATCTGATTTGATACACTGAAGCATCAGTGGTTTAAATGCTTAATCTAAACCTAAAACATTGTCTAACAACATAATGTAAAGAGGTAACAGTGTTTGAGTTGTGACGTCTATTTATTGTGTTGCAGCAGTATCTAATGAAATTAGCATGCTAGCGGACTAGCACCGACATGTCCTGTCTTGTTATACCACTGAGCTAACAGCTAGCTAGCTGACAGCACATCGAATGGAGAATCTCTATGATCCAGTTTCACCAAAATGGAATGATTGCTCATGCACTGCTTCAGCAAAGATAACTTAACGATTCATAAAAGTACAAAATACCCTTACTAATCAGCCTACAAATACCCATATCAGTCAAACCCTTGGTTGGTCTGTAGGAGTCAGGACTGGACTAAACTGAGCGTTTTACACCCGGCAGGAAACATGCCTGACTGAGGTCAAGCAGGGGGAACATGTGTGTGTGTGTGTGTGGGAGACAGAGGGAAAGAAAGGGAGCCTGTGTGTTTGCGTCCTCATGCATGGAGTTATGCTTGTGTGTGTGAGAGAGACCAGAAAGTAGCCCGTGCGTAGTGTTCGAAGTACAGATGCTCGTCACTGAAGGGAGCCAGATGAATATCTCCAGAGGAGGGAAACATCAGACCTGGAGAAAGAGAGAGGTCGGAGAGAGAAAATGAACAATAAAAGTCCAAAGTAAATGTTTGATTACTCAGTAGGCTGGGTCGATATTAAGACATTATTAAACCACTGGATCAGCAGTTTCTGAAGGTTTGCATTGTTCTCTGTTCCTACCATTGGGTTTGAGCCATTTTTTGGCATGCAAGAAGCTCTCCACGAGTCTATCACTGAGCAGCATGTATCCCATTGGCTCAGAGACAAGGACATCTACCAATTCAGGACAGCTGACCTCCTCCACCTTGCCTTCTAGGATCTCGATCCGATCAGACCGACCGTTACTCTGGACCAGGATCTGCACAGAAGACAATTCAACATTACATATCCACAGGACATACTGTTTTTTTCAGAAAGACTTTCAAAATAAGGACTCTAGATGTGTTGAGCAATTTGTGATTACGTGCCGTGTAGCAGGTCAATCTGACTCTGTGCAGATATGATCCCAATATATCGGTTTATGCACCAGCATCTCTCTGCAGTCTTTGGGCCAGATGTTGCCGCAACCCATTAACTCCCCAGAATGCCACGCTCTGCATGCGATGTATGTACTCTGTGTGTGCTCTATCTAGTACATTGCTGTGGTTTCTCTTCAGGCTCCTTCTAGGCCAACAAACACAGCATTTCTCTCCAAACTCCAAAGTTAAGGTTAAGGCTTTATTTCTGCAGTTTTAAAGCCAGTGTACAATAGAGGTGAAAGTATCTGACATTCTAATGACAAAGATGGAGGACCTTTGCGTATTTGGCCATGGGGCTGGATTCAACAGCGTACACCTTGGTGGCCCCTGCCTGGAGAGCAAAGAAAGACAGCATAGCAGAACCACAGCTCACATCCAGAACCACCTACACACAGGAAGAGAGGGAGGAGTGGTTAGGCTAGTGAGCTTTTAATGACAGTATTCAAAAAATATACATACATGTATATTTTTGTATAATGTACTGTAAATAACCTTAAGTTAGAGTACATTTCAATACAATAATACTTGACTACAACACAGTGTTGCTGTACACATCTGATATTAACATAGTGGAAAGCAATGGGCTGTAGTATTAGCAGTCAAATGGATGGACATGTATGTATTGGGAATCCCGTGAACACATGTGTTGTCACCTTGCCTCGGAAGTCACTCTCGTTGAGTAAAATGGCTTTTTGGTAGGTGGTCGTCCTCGGGTAGTCCTGAAGTAGGACCTGCTGTTGGGAGAGACAGCTGTGGAACTAAACAAACACACACACACACACACACACACACACACACACACACACACACACACACACACACACACACACACACACACACACACACACACACACACACACACACACACACACACACACACACACACACACACACACACACACAGTGAACATGTTTAATTAGTAATTAGTTTGTATCTTTTTACCACAAAGTCCAAATAATTGATGGCTTACCTGGTAGTCCTGTGTTAGGGCATCCTCAGTCCTTGTTTCCAGCATCATGGGATGTCTAGGTGTTGGGCCTTCATCCTGGTTGCCTCTCTTTTCTACTTCTGCGCAACCTTTCCTAGTCCCTTCATCATCTCCTGTCCTCAGTAACTGCTGGAAGTTCTTCATGTCTGATAGTCGGAGAGGACAGGAAGTTGTACATGTTTGAACACCTTAACCAAATCCCAGGATGATAGGCAGTATGGATTAAAGCATGCGTTGTACAAACCAGTTGGAGTTTTGAACTGCAGCAGAAGACTCAGCTTGCCTAAGGTGACCAGGAAGGACTGTCCTCCCACCTGGCAGCAGTCCATCTCCTCAGAGACAGTGAACTGGAAGACAGATGCTCTGTTGGCTGGAAAAGACACTTTGAAACCCTCAGATTAATAACACCAAATATAACAAACAAAGATCAACTTGAGGTCATTATGTTGTTGTACTAACACTCCATTTCTGGTTGGGTTCTGGTGTATGTATGTATGTATGTATGTATGTATGTATGTATGTATGTATGTATGTATGTATGTGTGTGTGTGTGTGTGTGTGTGTGTGTGTGTGTGTGTGTGTGTGTGTGTGTGTGTGTGCTCACCGTCCTGCACAGTGAGCTGCTGCTCCTCCCGTCCCGTGGTGAGGAGCAGCGTGAGCTCCTGCTCCGCCCTCTGTCTGCTCACACTGACCTGCTGCTCTCTGCTCACCTCCTCCTGCAGCTACACCTCATTCAGAGCACAACACACTGCGTTAAACCAAACTACACACCGTACAAAACCAAACTACACACCAGATGTAGGGAGATGTCATTTAAGCAGTTTGAATCCACAGCGTATTTCATTCAAATGCATCAGTTCTCCTAGTTGAGAAGAACACATACAGTAAGTGGTAACCTCCACTGTTACCTCCTCATGTGTCTCCATGTGCTCCTCCTCTGCCCTCAGCTCCTCCTGCAGGGAGAAGACTCGGACAGGGAAGGACTCCTCACTCTTCTCCTCCATTCTTCAGTGTGGAGGGAAGCTGCTCTTCAGGAAGAAAGAAGAGAAGAGAGCAGAGGGGTGGAGATGGAGGAAAAGGGGAGGAGAGATCGGGGAAGGATTGGGGAAAAAATGGTTTTCCTGTTTTTTGGAATTCATTTTGGGGTCCACTTCATGGATGTATTATTAGATTCATATTCATTTAAAAACAGTCGGACGCCCCTTTAAATAAAATATAAGTACATCCACTGTATAAACAAAATTGTAGACACTATTTTATGAATGGTGTGTTAAAAGGAGTTGTATAAACAAAGGTTTTGTTGCTGGGATAAAGAACATGATTGTGATGGAAATGAGGTCTTTCAACAGAAACATCGCCTTAGTTTAGTTTGGGATCAGAGCTTTGAAGAAGAAGAATACATGACAATTCATGTTTTTAACTAATTAAAATGTAACTTTATGTCACACATCATGAGGTCAGCTCATATACAGTGACAGAGCTCCCTCTGCTGGATGTGTAGCCTCACTGCAGGAACACAGAGGAGCATCACTTTATTAATATACTCACAAAGCATGTGTGCTGTGTGTAAAAAGAATTGTGAGAAATAATGATAATTATGTTACTACATCGATAAAGTCATTAAATAAAATAAACGTTGCATAATTTATGTTTTGTTAGACTAATAGTGTGTTTAACTCATTTTAAAATATGTTATGTGATAAACATTCTCATACTAAAGGTTGTACCAAAGTAAATCCTGACAACTTCTACGGATAAAAATCACATATTTAGTTATTATTATTATTATTATTTATCAGAGTTCTGAAATATATTATTATTATTATTAATATACACAAAGGCCAATTCCTCAAATGTGAAAACCTACTTGGTAACCTGTTTCTGATTCTAAATACGTAAGTATACCTTATTAGACTATTCATGACACTTTTTAATAACTTGAATTTCAAGAATGTTCACTCTCATGCCGCACCATGTAGACTTTATTGGATTTATTTCATGTTTTGTGACAATAGGAGAGTTTTAAAAGAGGCTGACATGCATACATGGATGTCAGGACCCCTACGGTATTGTAGCCTGAATCATCCCAACTGTCTGAGGTATACCAATCCATGAAGCGGGATACTTTAACACATTCTATTAATACACATGTACTGGAAAATGTCCTTGGTACATATACAGTAGGTTCATCTGAAGTTGAATATTTACAACCTTGCATTTCAGAAAGGGCTTTCATTCTACTCTGAGAGGGCGAGTCTGAACAGGAGGTAAACTTACTAATACTACGTTGTAAAAATACTCTGGTAAGTAAAAGTCCTGTATTGGAGATGTCACTCAAGTAATGGTAAGCAAAATGTAGGTAAATTATTACTCGTAAAAGTACTAAGAAAAATGAATAAAACAATAAAAACTCTTCAAAAATAAATTTGAAAATGACTCAAATGTTTATAAATGCCAATCCATTATATTTGAATGGGCTAATTAATTAATTGTTAGAGAACAAAAACTCTATATCAGAAAAGATACTGTAAGGTACAGTAATACACGCAGCACGCCCTCTTTCCTTATAACGCAAAGTATTTTTGTTTTACTTGGGCAGAAATGGATTTAAGCACACACATAAATACAGGTGACAGACTTCAAAGCTTATTTTAGTGCGTGTATTATTATTATAGTGACAGTGGCTCACCCTATAGACTGTACTTACATAGATTTTGCTGCTGAAGTTCACATGGCTTAAATGACTGCCTTATACAGCACTCTGGCACAGTGTCTTTCTATATTGAATTTCACCTGTTCTTCATTCCTGACAGAGAGGGCTGAGGAGCACACACACACAGGAAGCATTAAGCAGACATCATGCTGTCAACACACACTGATTCTTCACTAAGTCGGCAAAAAATATAAAAGCAAAATGCATCCATCCATGATTGCTAATGCTTATAAAAGTCTAATCTATGTCAGAGAATAAGTAATAAAACAAATTGTGTCTGAATGTACAAAACCAATTTTACCATGATACAGCATATCATTGTTCCTCTGGACAACATCACACATGGTTTGCACACAGGTTCCTTTACAGAAGTCCAGAAATCTGATCCCAAATCAGCCCTGTTTTATCTTGTGTGCAGTACACAGTCACAGTCAACCCCGGATCACGTGGTGAGTCAAGTCAACAAGGCATCTTTTCCTTGGGCACACATCTCAAAAGCCCCCTTGAGTACAAAGGTCCGCTGAGCAGCAAAGGTCCGACTTGATCCATCCTGCTCATCCTTTCAGATTCTCTGCGCTGCTTTCAGGATACACAGAACCACGGCGGTCAGCAGCAACACTGCAGCGATCAGTCCATATCGAACCCACGGGACATTGTCTGGGGCGGCTTGAAGGGGAGAAGGGAGTGATGGATGGAGGGGGCACATTAAAAATGCAACACAGTATACTCTTTGCATAGTGAAATGTCGATGAAGTGAAAACCTACAGTACCTGTGTCGACTGGAACTTGGGCCAAAAAGAATAAATAAAAAAAGGTTAAAATTAGTATTTGTATCTACATCTGTAAACAGTCCCATTAACATGAATCTTGCCGTCAAACCACACCTCGGAAACGTTTTGTGTGATTCTCATGCTAACCTTTGTTTGGGCCTGATGTTTGCGTCTCCTCAATGGCTGCCCTTAGCTGCAACTCTGTCGTGACTTTAAAAACATCAGACAAACATAAAAAGACAGAATAAGAATGATGATAAATTGCCCTAAGGTTAACGTTTAGCATCTTTAAGCTAATTGTTTCGGTTTTATCGACAATTGCGCTGATTATTAAGGTCTAAGTATGTTTCTAAAATATACATAACTAACTGAGAAGGGTTTACCTTCAATTGGCTGTGTAGAATCTTCCAGAAGAACATGTATAGGATCGGTGACAGTCACTTCTTCTGTCGTAGACACTATCGGCCAGTGTGTTGTACTGACCCAGTCCTCTGTCGTTCCTGGGGTCTCATCAGTGGTAACAACAACCCATGGGGTATCTGAAAGATTGGCTGTTACATGGTGCATCATTTTTCTGATAATGACATAGCTGCAGTGAAAAGAATAAGAAAGAATGTTACCAATATCTGTCGTGTTCGTTTCCACTACCGTCAGTGTGATACTCTCTGGTGTCCCTGGCCTTGCATCATCAGTATCGCTGAAAATACCAGAAAAGTGAAAGTTATTTCCATCCTAAAAGACATTTCTAACTTGGAAATGATAGATTTTTTGATTTACGGATCATTTCCTATGCAAAAACCGTAAAAAACAACTGATCAACCACACATTTTGCAGTCCCTGACATCTCCTTAACCTATTCAATATTGTGGTAAATAGATGTAACAGATTTAATTTAGCAGATAAAGCACTCCATACTGTAGATCTTACCTGGTTTTATACAAACACTGGTATTCTCCACTGTCTGTCATCATTGTTGGGCTTATATCAAGTTCAAATGATTCACGAGAGTCGGGAAAAATCCTTCTCCTATAGTCATCCATGGACGTCACAGACTGTAAGTGAAAAGAGATGATACATTATTTTTGCAATAACCCCAAATCCAATGGAATAAGCCCATAAGGAAGGAGAAATAAGTAAGCAATTTACCGTTATAATGACTTGCGTGTTGCAATGGCTTCACATACAAGTCATTTGTCTCAGGTCACCTGGACATCTATGAAAATGTTCATCTAGGCCTAGGGCATGCATTATAGTCCATCGGCAGTGTACAGTACCCCAGGCAGCGACGCTATAGTCATGCCGTTCCAGGTCCACCAGACTAGCATCTTGTTGGGGGACTGCTTTCTGGACCTCGGAATATAGCATGGTAGAGTCGACAAGTTGTCCACTGGCACCGACATGGAGCGCTCAATATGTGGCACTGTGGGAATAGCAGAGAAACAGCAGGTTGTGAAGGAGAACACACATGAAGTCAAGCTTACACATTCTATCTACTGGAAGTGAAGCTGGTCTCCATGACGGTAACCTCTTTCTCCCTCTAACTCACCATTGACTGTGAGCCACACTGTTGAAATGGTTTTCCTTCCTTGCCATATGCACTCGTACATATTTGTGTCACTGAGCAAGGCGTAAGAAAGTACGAGCGACCAGTGTCCTTCCCTGCGGAGCTCCTCTGAGGGCAGGTGGAATCGGCCCTGAAAGGAAGTATGAAATGATACAGGGTTAATAGCTCCACAAAGTTATGGTTGATTTCAGATTCTACTTACTTTAAATCTGTCTGCTTGTATTACCTCCTCTCCCTGCAGAATTGCCACGTCCTCCCCCATCGCCTCCCACCACGGACCCCCCTCCTCCTTCTCCAGGTAGGCTGAGGCGTTACAGGGCAAGGTGACCCACTCCCCGTACTCCACCTGAAGGTGATGCATCTGCGCTATGTGCAGGGCTGGATGGAAGGAAGATTGATAACAGTACCAGAGCGTTACAAGGAAGAAGGGAGAAGAGAGGATGGAAGGAAGGAAGGAAGGAAGGAAGGAAGGGAATTATAAGGAAAAGTTAGATAAGAAAAGAAGACGACATGAGTGACAGGAACACAAAGGGATGGGGATGGAAAGAAAGACAGAGAGGTAAGGATGTACGATGAAAAGGAGAGTGATTTTATTTTTGAAATCTTTGCAACTGAGCTTCTTTTCCTCTCTCTAATCGTTCAGGCTTTAAAATGCCATGTCCAAATGTACCTTACAGGTATATTTAACAATGTGTTTCGTTGACGTGATAAAGACTTACCGTTGCAGAGCCGCCCACACTGAAGATACAGCATCATCACCATCATACACACAGGCAACATCTTGGACAGTGCTGAAACACAAACGCATCATTAAACTCCGAAAGGCAGATTTTAAAACAACAAAATAAACTCGGAAACCAAACACCTTATTTTCTTTTTCAAGCACCTCATAAAGAAGTGTGGCGATTTGTTGCTTTTATGTCAGTTACGCGCTTCAAAACATCTTTCAAATTAAAGGGGACCTATCATGCAAAATGCACTTTTGTACGTCTTTTATACATGAATATGTGTCCCCGGTGTTCCAGGGAACTCACCAAGTGTCAGAAAACACAACCCTCTCTATTTTCCTCCATACCCAAATCTCTAAAAAAGGGGCTGCAACGGATCTGATAAAAACTGATCCAGATTTGAACACTGTCCTGACGTCAGGACGGTGGCGCTACGGCTATTGAGCCAACTCCACCAATCAGGAGGAGACAGCCACGGCCATTGCCGTTCGAAAGCGCTGGAGACGCTGTAGTACATATGCCAGGCCTGTAGATGGTGCTGTTCTCACAGAATCAGCCCTTGCAAAAACAGAGCTAACATTTTTCAAATTGAGCAAAATGAGGCATGGCTAAAATGCATGATCTGTTTGGTATTTTGGAAAAAAAAAAGTATAAATATGCCTTATATAGGTATGGTCCTACACTATATTATTCAAATATAGCATGATAGGTCCACTTTAAGTTAAATAATGTACAATCTTTTGACAATTGTACATTTCTTTGTTGATATAAGTTAAAATTCATTTATAGAGCCCCTTTCTAATTATATGACCATTTAAAGGGGTTTTTGCAATACATGCCAACATTTACCGATTCACACACTGATGACACGGCTGCCATACAAGGTGACACTGCTCATTATATAATCTGACGCTCACACACACTCGCATACGACATGCAGACCAGAGGAGGCAGAGATCGAAGAACTTCTGATTAGTAGACGACCCTCTCTACCTCCTGAGCATGCAACAGCAAAGGTCCTTTTCTTAAAAATAAGTATATTTCCTACTCGTGCAATTTCCTCGGGTCCATTTTTCTAAAAGTTAAACAACATTTGAACTGCTACAAAACTAAAGATTTCAGATTTCCAGATTAGCATGAATTCTATGCATAATGTTTTGAACTATAGGCAGGAAGCTAACATTTGAGACGGATTTTTGTATCATATTGTTGTGCCATAAAAGGAGGAATTGGAACACCGACATAGAGGTAAAACTCAAATGTGCTCTTACCGGAAAATGTTGACGAGATGAAAGAAGATGAGAGATGTGTGTGTGCTCCTCCGACACCCCTGTGTGTGTACGTGTGTTCTCATGTCACAGCTCGGTGTATGTGTGTGTGTTCTCCTGTTACATGACATTCTTTAAATCTCAACGGCAGCATATGCGTCCTTCCAGTGCTGCGTGAAATCTTAAATCTATATGGCAGATGATATGCCATTTACTGTATTTAAACATTTTAAGGTTAACACACAAATAAGATAACATACAAAGTGACAGAAGCAAATAAAGTCAATGCACAAACCCAGAAATAACAGATAGATGAACCCTCATTAGGACCGGTAAGTTGGGTATACTACCACAGAAATATGTACAGAGCGACAGAGGTTATGTGTCATATGCACCTGATCAGTGTTTCTGGAATACGACACACGAGGCCTATGCTTCCACCATATGATGTGAATCCACACTGATGATGCCTTCAGGCTCCATGGGAAACACTTCATACAGAACTATTAAAGATATGTGTTCCTGTTATTGCAGCCTGTCTGAGACATGAGATAATACAAAATATAAATCTTATAATAATTAAACAAATGGACTTGGAAACTCTAGATATATGACTCTGAAATGGACACTATGCACTACATTAATTTACATTCCTCTGTACTTTTGCATATTTTTGCACAATGCAACCAATGTTATAAAATGCAAAGCTCTTCCACTTTAAATTCTGATATACTGCACGTTTTATTTTTCTAAATAATTGTTCCTATTCTTCTGTACTTCCGTCTTTTTATTACTTGGGAACATGAACTATTTTTATTAATGTATTTTCTTTAATTTGTATTGTTATGCTTTTTATGCATCTGCTAATTTCATTGAACAGATGCTCTTTGTTCAGAATATAAACTTTTAGTTTTACATACAGTGTTAGCAAATCACTATAAAGAAGACAAAAAAGAAAATAAACAACTAAAATACAAAATGAAATGAAAACCAAAATCAAAGCAGTAATATATTTCAAGTTAGATTATATCTGATAACAAAGCAATGGCTCATACAGTTCATTTTTGAATCTATAATAGTTACACATTTTATTTATAAAAAAATTGTTCTATATTTGCTACTTTACTTAAACTTAATTCCTCTTACGTGTTTATGTGCGCACCGTTATACAGCAAATTCCTAGTATGTGTAAACCTAAACCTCCGTGTCAGTGTGTCTTAAAAACAGCAGCAGCGCCCTCTGCTGTTTGCTGAGAGACGTGTATGAGTTACTCACCAACAATGAAACATTATTATGAAGCATGCACTAGTATAAAAGCATCAGTATAAATGTATAATTATCATCAGCTGATAGTATTCTGTTTTACCTGGATGATGTGATCACTGTATGTTTTTATTTTATTTTGTTCACACGCATATTATAAATAAACAACACCTCATTTAACCAGTAGTAGCATCTTCTTTGTGTTGTGTCCTGTGTTTACCTGATGATTAGCAACCACTGGCAAACCTCCTCTTCCTGACCTTCTCTATCCTAACTGTCTCCATCGGCTGCTCAAACATGAGGTTCAAAGCTCTGAAGAAATCCAGCAAGTCCAGCTTGAGTTGACACTGATAACATGAAAATGACAGAGAGACATATGAACTTGAAACATTTTTTAATTGTAAATCAATAATGTAAATGAAGATGAATGCAGCTGCCGCTGTAATGCGAGACAGCTTCACAAATCAGCCTGAATAAAGATCCTGGAGAGGAAAATATGACACCAACATTGATTAATAAGTAGCTGTAGCCATTGACAATAACTAAAGATAATGTGATAAATTATACACAATAAAAAAAATACAAACATGACCTACCAGAATGATGCCGCATTCATGTTATGGGGGAATAACCAACATCCACATCCCTGTGAAGGTCTTGTACACACTTTTTTTTAACCTGGCCAGCTTAATCTCACAAACACACAAAATAAGTCATGGTACATTTCAGGTCTTTTTGCAAAACATCACCGAAAAATCTCCCTCCATTGCACTACGATCAAAACATGGTTATACATTTGTTCCTACAGTTCAACACTAATATTTCCTTTAGTTCCATCTTTACTCCTCACAAGCAGTACAGATGACCCGATGGCTAAAGTGAGCAGTGTTTTCCACTAGGAAGTTCATATCTCCCGTCTTTCTCACGGGACGTGAACGCAGCAATGGACACTAAGTTTCCTGTCCGTCTTATGAAATGCTCGTCTACGGGACATGGCGGCACCCTCGGGTCCCGAACCCTTTCTCAAAGCTCAGAGCGTGTTCCGCTCTCCACCGATCGCTTCATGATGAAATGTCTCTTCTCACTGCTCCACTCCGGGCGTGAAGTCGGGGCGCCGTGTCTGGATGATCTTCGGCCGCAGGGGGCGGGGTTTGTCGTCTTGGTCACTGTCGTCGGGGGCGGAGCTGTCGCCTCGCTCGTCATCGCAGACGTGGATGACGACACTGGGGGTGGTGGGGGTGGCGGTGTGGAGCTCGTACTTGTCCCCTGGGAGAAGAAGTACAGGAGTCATTATGCATGTCATCTTTACAAACCTTAGTTGGCCCAATACAGCACCAGGAGGGTTCCCTATATTCATATTACCCAGACAAATAATAAGAAACAGAAAGTATAGCATTACTTATACTACGTAACATTATTATTGATAATTCATTGTTTGTAAACAGCAAAATAACTGAAGTGGAACAAGCTATTGTGATAAGGTAAGTGTGTGACCTGGTCCCAGCTTGGAGATGGCACAAAGCAGGTCGTAGTTGACGACGGGCATGGCATCCTTAGACTGCTCCCAGCCCACCGGGGGGGAGGCGGGGGGCGAGATCAGGAACTGCTTATCCGGCTTGGGGGGCATCAGCCGAGGACTGCCTATGTGGACAGACTGCAGACACAGAGGCTCGATTAAAGATTTAGATGGACGTGTTTGATATTAAATACTGTATAAAAGAGTGGTGGTTGGTTAGATCCCTACAAAAATGTCTAACAAAACCCATGAGGGATTTACTCTGTAGATCAGTGCAAGCGATGCATTTTAAGACTACCTGAGCGAAGTAAAGTCTCATCTCTTTGCCCTTGAAGTCGGTCTTGTGGAGTTGCAGTCTGGCCTCGGCTGCAGCCAGAGCATCGCTGAAGCTGATCCTCACTCTGCGGAAAGATTTGAAGTACTGGAACTGCACCTCCGGCTCGAAGGAACGGAACAAGGCCTCAAAGCTGCCCTGCAGACACAGAGAGGGAGAGAGGGGTGAGAACAGGAAATACACCATCTCACCCACACATTTCCGAAGACACACACACTTCTCCCTCAGAGGCTTGGGAGCTCAGTGTGTTCACAACAAGAGAAAATACTGATCTGTTGCAGAGGCAGCACACAGCATGAACATGTCTGCTAACACTATAAAGAGAATGTTAAGAGGTTAGCATGCTAACAGCTAACCTGTAATGTATTAACTACAGCTGCATACAGGACGAAACAAATTATGAATGGAATTAAATGAGCCGTAGTAGTCGTCAGTTTGAAAATCCGGACAAAAATAGCAATTCCCCGAGTCATCTTTTCCTCCTGCAGTGCATCAGAGGAGCTCTGACCATGCAGTGAGTCATGATCGAGTCAAAGGAGGAAGGAGCTCAGCTCACTCACACACTTTAAACCCAATATGCTTATGTGGTGATAATCTGCAGGGCCCCTAGAAAAGAAAATCAGCAATGCACAATAGAAGTCCAACCCTACAATCTGCCTACCTAATGTATGGACTGGACATATGTGCACACACCATGATAACCACACAAACCGCTTAAATTGAAGTGTTTATTAAAAGAACCCCTAGTTTGGATTTGGTTCCAAAATAACTGGATCCGACATCTCCCATAATGCAACCCAACAGCCTATTTTCATCACCCTTCCCTGCCTGTTTAATGTAATTCATTTGTAATCACTAAGCCAAGGCCAAGATAACACCAGTGACATCACTGTGACATCAGGGTTGTTTTGTGTTTGTAGAAAGCTTTCCCAGAGCCAGATAACACATTTGGCTTTAACAGACAGTGAACTCGTCATGTGTCGAATACCGATGATTCAGAGATCAATCTGAAATGGTAATAAGCTGCAGCCTTGTTCAAGCTTGTTCCCCTTTATAGAGAAAAACAGAATGTTTTCTTGGAATCGTTTGGCATTGAAATAGTTGATTGATATCTAAATGTTCATCTCATTTACACAAAAACACAGTTGCTGAATCAAAGAACCAAGTGTGTCTTTCTCTGGAGCGTTAGCATTAAACCTGCTGCTCTCTGTGGCTAATGCTAATGTTTTTGAGCGTAACCATCTGTAGTATTGCATATATTATCTTTCTGCTTAGGGAAAAAATGCTTTGACTTTTTGGGATTATTTTACACCGATTACAATGTCCTAGGGCTGTTCAAAGCACAGGATGCAGCAACGGTTTCCTCGCAAAATAGATGTGGAGATCGTGGAAGGGGATTGGAATGGCCAAATCGACGTCGCCAATAGCAGGCTCAGTTTAGCCGTGTACATCCAGTAAATATCCAAATACATAGAGTGAGTGCCATTCATTTCAAAGACCGTGGTTTGCAAAGGGAACACCTGATGCGGGCTGCTCTCTTACCTGTGCCTCGGGACGGCTGAACACTTCCTGGTTGCTCACCGAGGCGACCAGGCAGAAGCGGTTACACTTGGTGGTCTTGATGTGCATGATGGGGGACCCAGGGAGGCGGAACCTTCTCCACCTGATACCTGAGGTCAGGGCGCAGCGGGACGCGGACACTATCTTCAGGCGTTGCGAAGGCGGCGGCGGTGCCGATGAAGAGGAAGGGGGAGAACGGAGGAGCGTTGCCTTCCCCAGGGTGGCAGAAGAGAAGGAAGGAATAGATGCTCTGTAAGAGGAAACAGCTGGTCTTCTTCTGTGGTGGTAAAGCACTCGTTTATGTCCTCCCAGTGCACAGTGTTAGAGATGCAGTAGCCTCCTACCCCACATTCCAAGGTTATCTCGTCTGAATCTCCGGAAATACACAATCCAGCATTCCCTTTTCTTCTTCCCGAGTCTTCCTCGATGTGTGTTAGCTCTGCAAAATGAGGAATTTTCCAGAGATTTGGGTGTGGAGAGCCTGTCTCTTCTCAGCTCTCTTTCTCTCCTCTCTGTCTTACTGCTCCACAGCCACTTAAATGAGCTCCAGCCAGGCGATGACGCATTACCCACAATCCCCTCCCTCTCCATGTCCTGGTTCCATTCATTCACTGCAAACCAATCAGCTGTTGTAGAGGGAGGAACCACTTTTTGTTTTTCTCTTCCTATGCCTGTACTGACAGATACTAGCCAATGCTGAATAATCACACAGAAAGAAGGACATTGTGTGTTCACATAGAGATACCGGAAAATAATGACACCACCGCTTAGCAAACTGACGCATTGATCGGCTTTCTGTTGCATTTGAAAATCCTTTGTCGAATGGAAAATGTGTAACAAAGAGCCTTTCAACTCTTAATTTCACACACATACCAAAGACGTATCAGCTGACCTCTGAGAGCACGGAGCAAGACGGAAAGGAAAAGACGTGTCAGCAGAGTTAATATGGATGAAGCTGAGACAGCTGACAGACAGGCAGATAAAGAGTGGAAGGAGACATAAGAAGAATGCAGGATGGAGGGATGAAGGGATGAAAAGCAGGAGGTGGTGCTCATGGAAAGTATGCAGTTTGATAACACGCTTTTATGAGGTATTAATAGCAGAGAGCTTGAAGTGGGGGGGGGAGTGTGTGTGTGTGTGTGTGTGCAGCCGGCAGTTGGAAAAATAAGACCAGGCTGTGCAGACACCAAGGTGTGTGCGTGTGTGTGAGTACTTAAACACAGAAGAGGTTCACACAGCAGAGAAGAAGTGTTGTTATGCTGGATTTAACACAAGAGAACCCCATATTAAATGTAAAGAAGCATAAAAGAAGAATAAAAAAGGAAGCAGCATATTAGAAAAAGACCTAGTAAACACACCATAGCAACACCTTATTTTTTCCTTATTACATTACATTGCATTTAGCTGATGCTTTTATCCAAAGCGACTTACAATAAGTGCATTCGACCAAGAAGATACAAACAGAATCATATCAGTACATCAGGTTTCATAGAGCCAAAACATTTCAAGTGCTACTCAACTAGCTTTAGATAAGCCAGTCCTTTGTTAGTATATAAGTGCTTTGTTAGTCATTCTATCGCTCGAAGTGGAGTCGAAAGAGATGAGTTTTCAGTCTGCGCCGGAAGATGTGGAGGCTTTCTGCTGTCCTGATGTCAATGGGGAGCTCATTCCACCATTTTGGAGCCAGGATAGCAAACCCACGTGTTTTTGCTGATGGGAACTTGGGTCCTCCTCACAGTGCGGGTGCAGCGAGCCGTTTGGCTGATGCAGAGCGGAGTGCACGTGCTGGGGTGTATGGTTTAACCATGTCCTGGATGTAGGAAGGGCCAGATCCATTCACAGCATGGTACGCAAGTACCAGTGTCTTGAAGTGGATTCTAGCAGTCACTGGAAGCCAGTGAAGGGAGCGGAGGAGCGGCGTGGTGTGGGAACATTTTGGAAGGTTGAAGACCAGACGAGCCGCTGCATTCTGGATGAGCTGCAGAGGTCGGATGGCACATGCAGGTAGACCAGCCAGGAGGGAGTTGCAGTAGCCTAGGCGTGAGATGACGAGAGCCTGGGCCAGAACCTGCGTCGCTTTCTGGGTCAGGAGGGGACGTATCCTCCTGATGTTGTAAAGAGTGTATCTGCAGCAGCGGGTTGTAGCAGCGATGTTTGCAGTGAAGGACAGGTTGTTATCTAGGGTCACACCCAGATTCCTTGCAGTCTGAGTCGGGGAAACAAGAGTGGGACAATCTTTTCCCGGAAGGAAAAGCAGTTCAGTCTTGTCAAGGTTGAGTTTGAGGTGGTGAGCAGAGACATCCACTGAGAGATGTCTGCTAGACAAGCAGAGATGCGTGCGACGACCTAGGTCTCTGAGTGGGGAAAGGACAGAATTAATTGGGTGTCGTCAGCGTAGCAGTGGTATGAAAAACCATGCGGGCTAATGACTGATCCGAGCGAGTTTGTGTACAGAGAGAAGAGGAGGGGACCAAGAACAGAGCCTTGAGGGACCTCTGTAGTTAATTGACAAGGGTCGGACTCGGACCCTCTACAAGTTACCCTGTAGGTGCGGTCTTTGAGGTATGAGGTGAGGAGGGAAAGTGCAGAGCCTGAAACTCCAAGTTCTTGGAGAGTGCGAAGGAGGATCTGATGATTCACCGTGTCGAATGCAGCAGACAGGTCCAGAAGGATGATGACAGAGGAGAGGGAGGCTGCTTATAATGCTACAAGGTGACAAAATAATCCCCATTGAAAATATGCTAGTTAGCTTTAGCTGCTATTATATCTTTGGGAAGCCTAGTCCTGCTTGGCTAAATAACGGCGCTAACATTAGCACCGGTTCCATTAAATTACATTACGATTTTCAATACAGTAGAAATTAACAAACTCATCCGATATCCACTAAATTAAGGAGGCTTTATCCAGCATTACAAATGGATATAAGCGATATCAATAAGACTTGAAAGGATGACCTCATACGTGTGTTTGCCACAGATCAGATCATCCAAATATTCAAAAATCAAATGGAAAAATCCAAATGCTTTTTAGTTAAGGTAGCGCTTGCAATGCTAACTTCCAGGTTGGCGTACAAAAAAACATCACCACTCTTTAGCTTTACATATCCCCCAGGTTCCATACTGTGATAACTCAACCAAACCTCACTGAGAACATAGCTTTTAAAAACAGGCCTCAGTATGCTCAGTCCTGTGTTACCCATAGTGCATCTGCAACACCACGGCTGCTGCTCGTAAACCCTTAGCCTAGCATGTCCACATACTGTACATGATGTGTGGCTGGCTGAGTGCAGGTGTTAATGCACGCTGGAATGACTAATAGCACAGCGCCGTGTGTGCAGGATGGAAAATGAAGCGCTGTGCCTCCCGACAGTGAAGCCGGTGCGTTGTGTAAGTGTTGTTTGTTGATGTTAAACATTACCGTGAGTATGTGTGTGTAGGTGCTAATCATCTCCAGACCTCACCCTGCTGCGGCCGCTATCCGAGCGTGTGAGTGTGTGAAGGCTCAGCCCCGCATTTTTTCCATCACTATGTTTTTGTTTCATCCTGCCATTTTTTCCATTCCCTCACTAGAGAGATACACACAGACAGACAGGTGCACACAAGAACAACACACACTGGACGCTGCTAGCCAGCTGCTGCATTTTTATTGCATCTTGATCATCTTTCCTATGCTCAATTGAAAGTTGTATTGTTTCCACTAACAACTGATACCTGAAAGCTGATACAGTGTGTGTTAGAGCCTGACACACACTAGGCCATTTGAGTTTTATAATATCTGATAAGAAGACTTTAATCCCCTTTTAACCAGATTTCACTCTCCTTTCGATCACCCTCAACAATGAGTACATATTGTACTAATTCTGCTCAAAAATCTACTTAAAAAAACCCAAAGCCTATCTTGTTTTGGCAAAGCCCCCTCAGTTTCCATTTCCTTAACCACTCACAGAAACACTCTTTGTGCTTTTAGGTGGATTCCAGTTCCTTCAAGCCAAAGTCCAATGACACATCCCTAATGTTTTCACCTCCAGTTCTACATCAAAACCCACTTTGAGCCCGAGGGGCATCAGGTAACGGAAGCCACACTGCTCTGTTTACATGTGGCTTTAACAAAATTCCATATGTGAACAGGAAAAAAGGGCCTAGAGCATGATGACACATCTGTCCCTTTTCCAGCTCTATCTTAACTTTCAGAATAACAACAGTATATGTCTCAGTCTTCCATTGAGTTACTCTGAGTCATGTCCAACAAAACAAATCGCTCACATTTTCCATCTGGCCTAAAACTTGTGTGTCTGATGCAGTTTCAGATTAGTGTTCGTCCATCAAGTCCAACCTGCTTATCTGCTAGTGTAGGACAAGTGATGCTAATCACTGCGGGGAAATAGGACCACACGTTTTATTATTTGAGTCATTTTGCATACACCACAGCTGAGTGTGTTTAGCTGGAATTACTTTCCAGATCCACATCAGAGTTTTCCTTGACCGAAATCTGTTCTTCAATTCTAGTCTAAGTTTGGCTGATGACAAGAATACACACAAACAAAACAAAAGGTCACACAAGGCTCATCAAATCTGTACGTTATTCCCCATTTACAAAGTTTTGCCTCACTGTCCAAAAGACAAACCAACTAAATATTCAATTAAATTAGAAAACACACCCAACTATTCCTTCCTTCTTGCTTAAAATAAGGTTAATGCACAAAATATGACTTGTTCCTTAACAATGGAGGGCTTATTACACTAACACACACCCTTCCTGGAACATTCTGTCACAGGATACATCAGCTGACCGTGCCCAGTGGAAAGCAGCAGGATCATGGAAGAAAGGGAAGCAGGGAAATACAAATATTTTTCTCAAAGGATGCCCTTTGACCCCTTTTCCATCAGCACTCTCATAGCCCCGTGTGTGTGTGTGTGTGTGTGTGTGTGTGTGTGTGTGTGTGTGTGTGTGTGTGTGTGTGTGTGTGTGTGTGTGTGTGTGTGTGTGTGTGTGTGTGTGTGTGTGTGTGTGTGTGTGTGTGTGTGTGTGTGTGTGTGTGTGTGTGTCAGATACAGTGCTTGTGTGTGAATCAGCAGTTGGTTGTGTTAGTGCTGAGTCTGCTGACAGGCTCCCTCTACAGTAACACCCTGAACATTATAGCTGCTTTTCTTTGGAAATACAGTTAAAGATTGAAGATACAAAGGTAGATTAGTCATATATGTTACTACAGAAGGTACAGTACATGAGATAGTATAGAGGACATGTCTTGAAGAATTTACTGCAGCTATTCCAACGTTAGAAATTGAATAAAATGTGTGATAATTTCATACTTTGAGAGAGCCATTCTGCATAATGGGTACTTTTGATACTTTAAGTACATTTGACTCATTCCTGCACTTCTCTTGGCCTGTTGCAATATGTTATTGAAATAGTACATTTTGATGCCGATACATTTGTACTTTTACTCAAGTAAATTCAGGATGATTACTTGTAACAGAGTACTTTATGTTGCATTGTTGGAGGAGCCTTGGACTTAAGATGTTCCTTGCATAACTACACTGTAGCTACTGTGCATTATGACAATAAATATGAAACAATTTCATATTTACCTTTACTTAACTACAGAGTACTTTATCTACCTCTGCATAAAGCAGGTTGGGCTTACCTTCAGTATGTCTTCTTTGAACAGATCCTCCGGTACTTTGCAGGCGATCAGGGCGTTGGGTAGATCCGTAAACTTGACATCTACCGTCGCCTCTTCACCGGCTGGCCGCTGCATCCTGATTACTGTCCTCTGCACACACAGCACCGAAAGCTTTAAATATAAATAATAAAGACAAGGCTCGGCTAACGCCCACAGGCCGCGTAATAGCTGACGTTGAGGCTAACACAAGGATGCATTTAATGTCATGCGTACTACTAAAGCCGTAGTCGTTATTTCATGTAAATAGTGAGATGTTGAAGCTCACCAGAGCTGCCTTTCTTCCGTGTAACGTTATTAGCTTACACTAAGCTGGCTAGCTGCTTATGCTAACCAGGAAACTACAATAATGCCGCCGAAAAAGCGAAACACACGATATTCCTTGAATATTTTCTCTCACTTAAGTCTAGGTGAAGGTGGTCGTTGGGAAGGTGGTATTGTCTTAGACTAAAACGGCCAAATATTCTCTACTTTTAACTGAAAATAGTCCCCCCGAATCGATTTGTTAGCATCTAGCAAAGGATAAAGGAGATGACGTTATTCTTCTTCTTCTTTCCAGCAAGCTAGGCACAAGTATAGTCCATGTCTGCCCCCTAGCGGTGCAGTAACGTCATTTTAAAAGTGAAATCCCCTGTCACCAATAATGTTCTAGGGATTAAACTAACATTTGAAAAACTTTATCCTCAAAAACTATAACATTACAAATATAAAACAACAAGAAACTACAACACAAGTACATTTTTGCTTAGTTTGTTTTATTTAGTAGTCACTGAAGTTATATTGAAGACAAGCATGTGCAAAACTGTAAGTGAAAACCAAGGGAAAAAAACATACAAATGTTTCCCTTCCACAAATGTTAAAATATAAGGATAATAAAAAAGTAATAGTATGTTATGTTTTGTGCTTCATTCTGGATGGTATGTGAGAAGCAGCACGGTGCCATATTGTGTCACCAATGTAACAATTAAAAATCTTACACGATGACTTTCAAAATAAGTGTAGAAATATAATTAAACACTTTAAATGTTACACAAGGCTGACACTGTATGTGTTTTTTGCATATTAGTGATATTTGTGTGTGTTTGAGGAACTTAACTGCTTGCGCTAGTACCTGAGTGGCAACAGGGTTTAAGCTCCAGGTCATGTGGGGATCAGCCACCACTTAATCCTCTGGTGAGAGGGAGGGAGTGAGAAAGAAAGAGAAAGGGAGGAAGAGAGAGAGGGGTGAGAAAGAGAGCGGTAGATTGCATTAATTGATGTCTAACTGTGCTAAAGACTGCAGAGTACTGCAGAGTACCAAAGCCACAAGGTAAGGGTGAAAGGATTGTACCACGAACCTCGACGCCTGGATAGATTTAATATCTGTGGGATTAAAATATCTAAATCTGGATTTTCTTTCCTTTGCCATGAAGTTTGGAACTTCCCAGTAAGTCTATCGGTCTTTTACGATTGCATGCGGGTTTCCGATCATATCCGGACTACTCAAACCTGGACTCATCCGGAAATAATCCTACAAATTGCAAATTGGGATCCATTTCAGGAAGGTTCTATTTTACAATTTCTTTTTTTCTACTGTCTTTGGACATCACAAACACTGTTGGTTGTTTTTAAATATTTCCTTGAATTCTGGGTTTATTTTCACTATTTTTGGAACCATTTCAAATGGCGTTTTGAGATATTCTGGTATGCACTCTTGGACCTAATCTGAAAACTGGAACCATTCTGCAATCTGAGTCTTCGCACCTCCAAAATCAGTTGGTGATTGTTTCTGTTTTTGGGCCCTAATCAAAACCTTGACATTTTGTAGATCCTTACAACAACCGTGGACACTAAGGCTCCAGTTCGTTCGAAGTAAGTGTCCTATCATTTCTTTAACTTTTCTGATGGCTCAGCCAGGCTCCCTCCCTAACCCAGACTTCTCAAATGGTGTCCATGGTCCACTAGGGATTTGTTCAGACCTGGATACGCAGAGAGGAAGAGAGGATGAGGAGGGAGAAGGGGAAGATGAGGATGTGGAACTAGCCGAGGAAGTCGGGGAGGATGTGGAGGCAGGAGGTGAAAGACAGGAGGAGCATTGGGAAGGAGGCGTGAAAGGAGAGGATGTAGAACACATAATGATACATGAGCTGACAAGTGAGAAAGAGGCTGAAGGCGAGGAAGAGCATGGGTCAGAAGAAACAGAGGCAGGGAATGAAAATCCATGTCACTTTTCAGAAGTGATAGAGGATGAAACAGGCCAAGAGCAGATTATAGACAACAATAAAGAAACAGAAGAAGAAGAAAATGAACAAGAAGCAGTGATAGCAAGTTCAGAAACAAAGGTTAGGGAGGATAACACAGATGACGGATTAGAAGAACACCAGGAAGTATCCACCACCGATGATGCAGAGTATGTTCAGGAGTCAGAAGAGGATGCACAGCTGTGTACTGGTGACACAGACGAAACAGAAGTTGTTATTCTGCCCACTGATGGTGAGGTTACAAAAAGCCTTGAGGATGCAACAGTAGTAATCCCTGTTGCTATGGGGATAGCAGTCAACCATCAAGATGATCTATACCAAACCTCAACTGATGGCAACTATGGCGTACACTTCGATACAGAGGCCATACATGAAGTCAATCAGACCAACCAGTTCGCTAGCGAGGAAGAAGATGACATTCAAAACACTGATGAAAAGGACAACCCAGAATCTAGGAAACAGGAAGTTCAGACCGTACATAAAACTGTCACATGGAAACAGGAGGATTATTTAGAGGAAAAGTTTGATGATGAACAAACCAATGAGATTGAGAAAGATGCAACGTCTACTTCTGATGATGTTCTAGACATACGGGGTGAAGTAGACCAGAAGGAGGACACATCGGACTTTGCATTTGACCTCTCTGAAGAACAGACAGAAGGAGGGGTTGAGGAAAGAACTGTGGTAGGGATCAACGAGAGGGAGGAAGAGGAAAAGCAAGTGCGACAGGTTGGGGTTAATTCTCTAACTGTGATGGATGGGGGAGGACAGAGTGCGGAAGAGGATGGGAAGACAGCTGATAACGCTATTACAGATACAATGGGGGAGGAAGAGCCCAGAGGAGAAGTTAATGTACACGTGCAAGAAGAGAAGGTTGTTGAAGTTGAAATGCAGGAACCAGTTCTTCAGTGTGTTGAGGAGGTTCCTTTAGACATGCAAGAACACGAAGACATGGATCTGGTGGAAGAGGCCTTTGAGCTGGAGGAAGAGGGTGAAGTTGAACCTGATCAGCCAATAGATGAGGTTAAATCAGAAGATACTGAGTCCAGAATCAGAGGTGATATGCAGGAACATCCTTGGCAGCAAGAAAGAGGGGGAGATTTGGAAGAAGAATTGAGAGAACAGCCAAGAGGGCAGGCCCTCGTAGAAGACGAAAAGGGAGCAGGAGCAGAAGTGGAAGCAATGGAGGAAGAGATAGATATGGAACAAGAACCTGTGACTGTTTTGGATGATGATATTGAAGAGATAGAGGACAGTCCAAGGAGAGAAGGTGAAGAAGAAGAAGTGCACGCCACGATTCAAGACCCTTCTGAAGACACCATAGCAGAGACCAAGGATGAAGAGTGTCAAGAACGGCAAGGAGAGAATCTTGAACGTAGTAAGGAGAATGATGAGAAACAGAACAATGAAATAGAAGATGTACAGAAACTAGATGACAGCAGAGAGGTAGAAGGAAAGGAAAAGACACAAGATGAATGTAAAGAGGTAGAGAAGGATGATAAACCACAAGAGGACAACAGAGAGGTAGAGTTGGACATAAATGGAAGAGTTAAAGAACTGAAGCCAGCAATGGAAAATGGGATCTTGTCACCTGAGCTGAAGAATGAAGAATGTGGCATGGCAAAGGTTGCATCACTCAGGAGAAGAGATAACGACTGGATCAAAACAGTTCAACCAGAGGAAAAGAGTGCCCCAGAAAACGAACTGTGGAGGAAAGAACTGAGGCCTGTGAGAAAGGATGTCTGGGAATCTGAGAGTGGAAAAAAAGAATGGTCGAGGAAGGAGACATCAGCAGATCTGAAAAGTCCTCCAAGGAAGGATGACTGGATAAAGGAGCTGAAGTCAGTGATCAAAAATGAATCGTTGCCCAAGAAGGGGAATGAGCAGGTGAAGAAAAAGCGAGTGGTGCTGTTGGAGGATGGACATTCGTACATCCCCCAGCGTGAGGAGATGATCGAGGACACGAGGGAGGAAGTGAAACTGATCTCCCATAGGAGGCCGGAGAGCTCCTTTCCCGCTGGGCACAAGAACAACAAAACACCCCAGGACCAGGACTACGAGATCTCCCTCTATGTTAAGGTAATGTTCCAACACATACTGTACACATCATGTCAATCCAGACGACACCTTCTAAGATGGTTTTGACGGTTCTGGCACCATGAAAATGACCTGTCGCTGTGATATGGTTGCCTTTGGATGCTGTTGTGCTTTTAACATTATTGTGTGTGTGTGTGTGTGTGTGTGCATGCGTATGAGAGAGAAACCCAACTTGATCTGCTTACCTTATCTCATTAAGACATCAGGCATGGTAGCCTACATTGCTACGTGCTACAATGGTAAAGGTCATGGACAAAATAATAGGGACACCACATAATATAATTTAAGAAGTGAATATCCTTGTTAAATGTGTAACCATCACTGATACTGTACTTTTCCTCACACACATGCACACCGTGAGAGGTCAGACATTCCTAACTGAGAAGAAAACAAAAGCGGGCAGCCTTCAGACGACCAGCAGAGAGGTTTAATGGAAGGAAAAATGCACTAATATCTGAGAGCCACTTCACACACACATACACACACATACACACACACACACACATACACACAAAAGCTTGTTCTCTGTGGGAGCTCACAGTCAAACAACGGCTACCTTTGTCAGACACTCTGCTGGCAGCGCACACTTGGGGAGATGGAGTGGAAAGGTTCGCCGGACTCAAAAACACTCATATTCACCCAATCGGCCAACCAGAAGTCTTCACAAGATTGTTCAAATGATTACAATACACAAGACTTACTATTATTTCAACGTGTCATTAAGTACAGTTTATATCTATATGGTGTTGTATACGTTTTAGGTGACTGAATAATAGTGCAGGTAGCATGCTGGGTTAATCTCAGCATTCTCACTGTAAGCTGATTAGCCTGCTGTTTGCTGCTGAGGCTCTGAGCACAGTGGAAACAACACATTCTCAGCTTAAACTAAAAAATGCATGTCTAATATGTTTATTTAGGTAGGAGGACATGGGGTGACTAATAAAGGGTTAGTTTGTTTTGGATATCAGGGCAGAGTCTGTTCCACTCGCTGAGGTGCGCTGATCTGCTGATCCGAGCTGTCTCGTCCACTTACACTCCTTCTTACCCGCTCCCTGTTCACATGTCAATAAGCTCTATTGGACTTTTCATGGACCTACTTTCTGTCCCCTCTCCATTTGGAGTTATTAGTGAGGGGGTGAAGGAGCTTTACTACACCCTGCTGGTTCCTAGGCCCATGCTCACTACTCCATATCTCCCTGGAAGGAGTACAATATATGCAGGTCCCTATACAGGCTGCAGTTTAGCTTGGAAATCATGCTTCAATCACAATGGGTGTGAAACATATCTTTCCATCTCTGCTGCAACACACTGGATACATTGTTTGTGTTTGTGATGGAGCAAAGATTCCACCACCTCCCACTCCTCTAAGGAATAAAGGAATTCTGTGCCTCCTAACTTCACACCAATGTCTTGGTGACTTCTTCCACTAATTGGTGAACACCTGTAGATGGAAAGGTAACCCAATATGGAGTCATGCAGGGAACATGCAAGCACTATCAGGTCACATGTCTCTATTAAGAGACAAAAACCCTTAACTCCTCAACCAATGACTAACTTCCTGTCCCTAGATGGCTTTGGTCCTGTATTGTGACTTTGTGAATGACATTTTACCCACGCAATGGGAGTAAAACACATTGACTTGAGACAGTGTTCAAACAAAGGGGGATTGTGTGTTGAGGAGACACTGACGTACCAGAGAAATCTGAAAAAGAAGCAGTTGAGGGGCGGCCAGGCAGACGCACAGACAACATGGTTGTGTTGGAAGATAACAGGAAAGCTCAACACGGATTTTACTACATTTGTCCTGCTTGTCTTGGTAAAAATATGTATTTTAGAGCAGTGTGAGCTTTCATACAATCCTTCAATTGTTCGCCATGTCCTGGTGTGACATTGCAGTTAAACAATTGGGTTTCCCTACCATTGAGCTGTTTGTAAAGGTAAGTGAAGTCTGCATGCTTCTGAACAGTCAATGTTGATTATCCATACAGTATCTTTACATGGCTGGGTCTCGTTTGGTATCTGTGATTTCCTGAAGCAGATATATGGCTCTTCTCCTGCTAGATCTTTGTTTGTGTAGGCCTACTATGTGTTCCTTTGTGAAGACCTGTAGCCATGATGTTAAATGTATAATATTTGTGTCTTTGTGTAGGCTGGAAGTGATGGGGAGAGCGTTGGTAACTGTCCATTCTCTCAGAGACTCTTTATGATCCTGTGGCTTAAAGGGGTCATCTTCAACGTCACCACTGTTGACCTCAAACGGTAATACATTATAAAACACAATTCTTTATTGGGAGTAAGTGGCCTGAATGTTAGTTTTAAGTCTTGTTGTTGGACCTCTTGTGCACACCACGCACTTATGTCTCTCTGGTATCCATTTTATGTCTGTTGTAGGAAGCCGGCGGACCTTCAGGACCTCGCTCCAGGAACCAACCCTCCCTTTGTCACCTTCAACGGCGAGGTCAAGGTCGATGTCAACAAGATCGAGGAGTTCCTGGAGGAGAAACTGACCCCACCCCGGTACACACAAACACATCTACACAACAATCAAAAGTGTGCAGGGGTATTCAGCTGACTTCTTATCTTGTCTTTTACATCAGCTACCCTCGACTTGCTACCAAACATTCTGAAGCCAACACAGCGGGAATCGATGTGTTCGCCAAATTCTCAGCATACATTAAAAACACGAGGAAAGACACCAACGATGGTAAGAAGGGGAGACAGAATCTGTGTATGTTTCTCAAAAGTGGCCAGAAACCAAGAACAGAGCTAACTGAGAATTCCTTGGTGGACTAAAACACAAGCCAGATACTGTCATATCATATCATAGCAATAATATCCTATGATCTATTTGTCTGCTGTTCTCTCTGTTTGTATCTCTACCTGCAGTCTTAGAGAAAGCCTTGCTGAAGTCCCTCCGGCGTCTTGATGACTTCCTGAGGACTCCTCTGCCTGAGGAGATCGACGCTGACGCCTCAGGAGATGTGCCCGAGTCCTCCAGGAGCTTTCTAGACGGCCCTGAACTCACCCTGGCCGACTGCAACCTGCTGCCTAAACTACACATCCTTAAGGTTCATCCACCTCTATGGTCATATTCCTAGAACCTGGAAATTAGCTTCAGCACATCTGCACCACTCTACTCTAATATTTCGATGCTTCGATGACCAACACGTGTCAACTCACACCTCTTTGCAGGTCGTAGCCAAGAAATACAGAAGCTTTGAGATTCCAGCGGAGATGACGGGCGTGTGGAGGTACTTCAACTGCGCCTACCAGAGGGAGGAGTTCACCAGCACCTGCCCCGCTGAGAGGGAGATCCACTTTGCCTATCTGGATGTTGCTAAGAAAATCAAATGAGATGAAACAGAGAGGAGAGATGTATCATGCCTATCTGTAGTACAAGTAGACTAAATGAAGACCTCCAGGAAATAGACTAGGAAGACCTATACAAAACATAGTCAGTCTTTTTAACGTGTAATGCTCTCCATCAGCTTGGATACCTTGTACCTATATGTGTATGTTGTTTCTACGGAGTGTGTGTGTGTGTGTGTGTGTGTGTGTGTGTGCGTGTGTGTGTGTGTGTTTCTATGTGGGCTCCCACAGGTTGGGTTGCACAGTCATGCTCTTCTTAATGCTTATTATTTGACAATTATTATTATTATTTGATTTTTCAGATGGTGACTAAATAAATAGCAGAATGAACAAACATTACTTCAGTATTACTGCATTAGCAACCACTTCGTAAATGTTAAGTTCATTGTATGTTATCTAACAATCTGGGTTTGGTTAACAACGTGTCTTTTAATTTCAAATCATGTCAACAATTGATGTGATAATATATCTGGAATTTCATTAGCATCAAATTGTGAATGTATTGGATTCTAGGAGCCAGTGAGGCTGAGGGAACCTTCAAGATGTTCCCTATAGTGTTACCAACACTTTAATACACGTATATCAAACCAACCATATTATCAGCCTGCTGTGTTCTGGCCTTATATTCTGTCTGGGGACAAACTTTAATAAACTGATTTTATCACTGTGTGGATTGAATTCTTCATGTTTTGCATCTAAAGAAATGATATCAGGGCATATGCAGTTCAAATTATAATACATAAAGTGACAATCAACAAATATGGCCATTTAAAGTTCTAAATAATTGTAGTGTATATTAAACACATACACACATTTCGACAGTGGAGCATGTGCAGACACACACACACTGATCACCGGGGCGACAGTAACATTGACCTCTGTGGAAACCCTCTGAATGTAATGACCGCAGTTTGCACACAGCAAACACACAACGCTCAATGAGCTTAGTTACATCCAGAGGAGGAATGTCCTGTTCATATCGAGGCATCGTCAAGTTAAGTCACAACACAAATAGTGTTATTACAGCGTGAAACACACAATAATGTCGAGCAAGTTGTGTAAAAACGCACAACCATTTGAACAAAAATAATTCTAAAATGTAATCTTGCCGCTTGGAAATCTCTTTGTTCTTTGGGTGCAATAGTTAAAAAAGATAATAAACAGTCCTAGACTCAGTGTGTGATTTATTACGGCTGCTTATGGACTTGTCTTTATGTAGCTGTCAGCCATTGTCACTACCATGATGCAGCAGGTGACCCCAGAGTGTGAGTATAATGAACAACTAAAGAGAGTGTAGTGGTATAAAAATAAAATATCAATCTTTATTGTCACAGTGGGGTTTTGCCATGCTAGTAACAAACTTTATTTAAAATACGGTGCACACATACAACCACAGCGTGTGTCTGTCTTATAAGGGAACGGAAGGGTTAACGGGGTGTTCATGCGCCCGGCTTCAGGCACACATCGTCGTCTTTCATTGGTCAGTCTTGTTAATTCATGAGTGAATGAAAAGGTCCGATGCAAGGATGGCGCCGCTGTGGGGCTTCCCGGTGTCACGGCAACGGTAGCGTAGCGCTCAGGTCCGAGAAGAGCGAGAGGAGAGGCAGGAGACCGGTGAAGGGATGCAGGGCGGATGAAGCTTTACATTTAACATCTTACACTTTTTTTGTTATCAATAAAACAACCTGTTTTCACTGGGCCACTTCTGCAGGGTCTGAAAGAATAGGTTTAGGCCTGCTGCCACCTAGCTTAGCATAAAGACTTCTTGCTTTCAACATTTGGCGTTCACTGATACCTTCAGATCTTCCTTAAGCTAGTGGGTTCACATGTCATGATGAAGACTACAATCAGCCTTCTGCATGGAAATGTACATCATCAAACCATCATGGGAGAGTGGAGGCAAGGTCTTCAGGTTTTTGTAACTGCCGTATGATTGTAAATGCAGGGGTTGATGGATGGATGGATGGATGGATGGATGGAGACCATCAGTTCTGGGAGCAGTACTTCCAGAAACACACTGTTGGAGACAAAGAAGAAGAAGATTATCATTCTCCAAGATCTACAAAGTTAAAGGCTAATACTGGTGGGTCATAATAGTTTCAGATGTCCTATTCCGAGAGCTGCTCGCTTCGGATAATGCATTCTCGAGTCTTTTTCATCTTTCTCATCAGACAGTCGGCACTTGATTTCTCTGTGTTGCCACCGTGTAATTCATATGCAGTCTGCCCATAATGCAGACAGCAGAACGGAAAGCGTCCGTCACCTCTTTTGTTGGTCTTCTTGGTCTGCGTTGGGAGGGACTTCTTGAAATTTCGACCAGTCAGACTGGGGATGAGGACATCTGCACTGGCTCTGGACGCAGTGCTGCTGACTGCTGATGGGGCCACTGTGGTGGGCTTCACCCCTCCGTCAGCAGCAGGGTGCTTCAACAGCAGAGAGAAAGGAGAGCAATGATTATTAAAACCAAGAATCACAAACTGCCTTATTCCTTTTGAAATGTAATTGAGAGCAAATATTTCACAGGTACTTACCACTCTATTTTTCCTTCCTGAATTTTTGCCATTTGCTGAAAGGACAAACAAAAACTGCCTTAGTGAAAATGACCCAGATGAAGTGCAGAACAGTGGCTAAATCACTGGTGTATGTGAAGAGACACTAGATAGTCCAAAAGACAAGTATGCATTTATAAAAACAAAACAAATCCAATCAATGAAATTATTAAATGATATAGCTGCATGCAGGGATCCAAGTGTAAAGGATTATTCTGACCAATGGATACTTGTGTATTGAGTATTATACTGTAGGACATTCCATGTGTAAAGGGCACAGAAGCTAAAAGCAGGTTTCCTGAGCTCAGCGCTAACTCAAGAGGGCTTTAAGTGTTAGCCAATCACTAGAGCCAGTACAACAAGGTCCAGAGGTCCAGTTCATTAATGACGTGATATAAGGTGGCATAACTCCAACGATGGCTTTATACAGAAAGAGATGATGATGAGGACAATAAGTATCCCTGAGGCCATGAAGAAATACAGAAAGCATTGGAGGACAGTTCCTGATTTTTAATGGGTTGCTGCACAGCCAGTAATATAGACGAATGTGTCATCTGCATAAAGATGACAGCCACTTTGAGATGGGGAAATATGATTATTATAACTGCTAATTAAGACTGGATACTATATCATTTACATATACTGTAGATGTAGGGATGGAGATTTGTTTTTCCACATGTGGGGTTAGCAAAGAGTGCTCTAAGATCAATTGTTTGAGGTATCATTACCTCTTGGCATGATGGTGATCCTGGAGCTCCGTGTGCTGTTAAACGCCCGGTGCAGCTCCTCCAAGGCTGAGATCATCTTCAGCATCTGGACCCGTTTATCTGGCCCTGCTGTCTCCGGGCTGCTCCTCACCCTCCCCTCCCTGACGCCCGCAGTGATGGTCCTTGTCGTGGTTTTGTCAGTTCTCGTTGTCCCATCCACTCCTGCTGCTTTGGTACTCAGAAGCCAGTGTTTCAGGAACTGGCTAGGATTTGTCTTCTCTGGTACAGCTGACGCATGAGTGAGACTGGGAAGAGGTTTTGCAAAGCCTGGGGAGAAAATCATATATTTTAAATGTTTTCCAAGATCCAAGTAGGGTTTGTATGAAAAGGTTGACTGAGTTCAGGTCTCTGATTTGCTTTAATTCTAAGTCTGCCTTTTTGTAGCATACTACCACAGATCCTGCATACACATGACCCTCAAACAGTCCTTAACACAAACACACACACACATAGCCTATTTTGGTGGGATACCATTGCTTTGCTGGTTGCTAGCAGAGTTGCTACGGGATCTTCAGCTGTGACATAAGAGTTGTATGAATTGTGTAATGACGTAGGAGGTTTCGCAACAATGCAGCTCAGTGTCTTAGTGTTTGGACTAGTGCTGTCAATGGATTTTATTTTTTTAAAGTTAATTACATGATATGCAGATTATTTAATCGCCATCAATTGGATATCCATATTTCTTTTTATATACCGCCAAATAAAGATGTTTCAACCTAAAAGCATCACATATTTGTGTCACACGAGTAAGGCATTGCATCATATTATCAAAAAGAGGGATTAGAAATCAATACATTTTTGTATTTCCAATCATTTGATGGCATGGGCCGCCCCTTGCTATCAGATGATTCCTATATAAACGTGCACATGCACGTCAGCAGGTTGCACTGAACCAATCAAAGCACACCAGTCCTGTTGATTTCTCTTTTTAAGTTATTGATTTGAACCTAAATAAGTATTTTCCAGTCAATTATGTTATGTTTTGACCATCATCTGTTCAGTTTAAACCAAATCTGTTCAAACTACCAAAATCCCTAACCCTAACCCTTTAAGCTGTTCCATCAGCTTCGACAGCTTCCTTACCTCTGTCAGTGGGTGCCGCCTCCACTCCTGTCCCCACACACACCAGCATCATCATGACCACCTTCATCACAGACACAAGTGCTGAGCTGTTAAGCATGGTTACTGAGCACTGAAGGAATGCCTATGTAGCAAGCAACTATAGTCACTATCAGTCAATTGACTTTCTTTTAACTCAGGATTTTGTTCCAAGAAGGTTCTCAAACTGACTTGTTCCTCATTTACTCTTCCGACTTTTTGTTGATGTTGCCGAGGATGTAGACGTCCACTGAGATGATTGGTCTTAGGTTTTGAAAATCAATCAGCTTGTTCTGTTCTGATGCTTTGAGATACTTCGAAATGCCTTGAATTCGGATATACTCAAAAACCTTTTCGGTTGTTCTTAGCTTCTTCCGTTTTTCAACCAGGAGATGGTATTCGTCTAATTTAATTCCAAGTCTTCTCCAAAAACGTTACAATAAAAAATCTTTCTGTTTCAAAATCTGTCTGTTCAATCCACGGATGCACCTCTTGAAGAAGGCTTGTCAACAGTTGGTCGGATCAGTTCCTTTTCGTAATGCACCAACCAATCTGGCCTTTATAAACCTGGGGTTCGCTCCTTAATGACGGATGGCTAAGCGTCAACCAATCACTGGCCTGAAAGCCACCAAACGCCCCGCCTCTTCCTCATTGATGGATCGGTGACATTTGGGTAGTTTGGCGGCGGGCTTTGTGTGTTAGGAGTCAAACCTATCTTTTTGTGAATGTGTTGTGTGTGTGTTTAGGCTTGTATTTAACGTGTGTGTGTTGTGTGTGTGGCCCTGGCTGTATAAGCAGTGATAAGGTAGTTCTTAATATGTTTGCTCAGGGGCCACAGAGAGAGAATGGCCCTCTGACGCATGAGGGCCTGGAGCCACACTGACTACACTCGCACACACACAACTCGCAAATACAACATTCAAACACAGAAAACGACATGGCAAACTCATGTACGCACACACTCTCACACACACAATCCTGGGGTCAGTTTGAACTTGGAAGAAAGGGTGGAAGACACACAAACACACACACACACACACACCGATTGTAAAAGAAGCGTGGGATGCACATCAAAGGGCAAAGAAAGGCTGAGAAGTCGTGTCCAAATGACAAAAGGCTAACCGAGGGTTTTCTCCCTTTTTTGTGGCGACTAATCCCTCAGACAGGAAGTTGACAGAGTGACGGTGAGACGCCACCTTGCCAATAACCACCACAAAGACCCAAAAAAGCCCCAACACACGTTATGGAGGATG